ACCGTGACCTACGCTAACCCTGACTTTCACTAACCGTGACCTACACTAACCCTGGCCTACACTAACCCTGACTTTCACTAACCGTGACTTTCACTAACCGTGACCTACACTAACCCAGACCTACACTAACTCTGACCCTAAACTAGACATCTAACCCAAACTCTCGTCCTTATCTTAACCTTAATTTAGAATATAACACCGATAAAGACAGAAAAAAATGCGATACTAGATTGACATGCGGGTGTTTTTATAAGAACCTTCAAACATTTTTTTAGTGGCGTCTACACCTGGAGTCATACCTTATCAACACGACGCAACACACGTTTGGGATAAATATAAATCATGGTTAAAAATATCTAACATGTGCAGATTAAAAAATACTTGTGTAATCTGTGTCGCGGTGAATCGATTTTTTTACAGCAGTTTAAAAACAGGTCTACCTTGATTTAACAAAACATCAGTTTCAGGTAGTGTAGAACCGAAATAGATCAGAAAATTACCTGAGTTTTTTTAAATTTATTTATGTTTATCAGAAAAAAATTAAACCCAATCCGAATTCAGTTTGAAACGTCAAAGACGGTGGGTTGCGGTATCGCTAAAATGGTGATGTGTGGTATCGTCAAGATGCTGGGGTGTGGTATCGTCAAGATTCTGGGGTGTGGTATCGTCAAGATTCTGGGGTGTGGTATCGTCAAGATTCTGGGGTGTGGTATCGTCAAGATTCTGGGGTGTGGTATCGTCAAGATTCTGGGGTGTGGTATCGTCAAGATTCTGGGGTGTGGGATTCTCGACTGTGGGATCGTAAAGGTGTGGGACATGGTATCGTTAAGATGCTGGGGTGCGGTATTGTCAAAATACTGGGCTATGGTATCGTCAAGACTGTGATATTGTTAGATGGTAGGATGAAGTATCGTTAGTATGGTGGGATGTGGTATCGTTATGAAGGTGTATTGTGGTATCGTCAAGAAGTTGTGCTGTGATATCGTAATAACGACGGGCTGTGGTATCGTCAAGATACTACACTGTGGTATTGTTAGTATGGTGGGTTGTGGTATCGTTATGACGGTGAAATGTAGTAATTATAGTATCGTTATGACTGTATCGTCAACATGTGTGGTATCGACTAAATAACTCAAAAAAATATATATTTTTTCTTTTCTAAAAAAACAGTTTTTAAAAAGAAAGACGTTAAAAATTTGAACCTGTTGTTGTCTTCCAGCCATACGTCTTTGTTCATGAACTTTTTTTTAGTCTACCACGTCAGGACACACAGCGGGGTTGTTTATTTTGTTCTGTTCCATTCCGTCTTGGTCTCCAGTCCTAGTTTTAAAATAACTGCCATCGTCTGCTTTCTACCCCGCTCTGAAATTTGGACGTTAAGGGTCATACTTATGTATTTAAACGTCTGGTGAAATTCGGACGTTTAAAGTAAACGTCTGGCTTTTTTTTTGTCTGAAGATATAAAATGTTTTTGACAGTTGTATTTACCTCCCCTCTCCCAGTGTTTCTTCCAGACTTTTTTCTCCGAGGGGGGGGGGGGGGGGCGGTCAACATTTTCCGGTGGGGGTGGGGGCGGACACTGGTAAAAGTATGTATTCTATATAAATTATATTTCGTTCGGGGGGGGGGGCACTTGATATTTTCGGGGGGGGGGGGGGCGGTAGGCTTTCTTTGGGGGGGCCCATCGAAGAGATGTCTGGGAGAAACTTTGCCCTCTTCTCCCCCCCCCCCCCCACACACACACACGCTCCTCCCACTTTCTTCCTTTACGAACCAATACACATCAACTTTTCACTGAATATGACTTTGATTGCAAGCTAGATCTATTCTACTTAATTCAAACAGGCACCCGAATGGCAACACACGTATATACACATCGTTACATATATATCGCAACACACGCATTGACCTACACACATATATTTCTACTTACACACAGACATTACCTCTCACACACACACCCACACAACACGAGTGCTCGCCCCCACCCCCAACCCCAACCCCCACCATCCCCAACCCCCACCATCCCCAACCCCACCAACCCCAACCCCCACCATCCCCAACCCCCACCATCCCCAACCCCCACCATCCCCAACCCCCACCATCCCCAACCCCCACCATCCCCAACCCCCACCATCCCCAACCCCCACCATCCCCAACCCCCACCATCCCCAACCCCAACCCCCACCATCCCCAACCCCCACCATCCCCAACCCCCACCATCCCCAACCCCAACCCCCACCATCCCCAACCCCCACCATCCCCAACCCCCACCATCCCCAACCCCAACCCCCACCATCCCCAACCCCCACCATCCCCAACCCCCACCATCCCCAACCCCAACCCCCACCATCCCCAACCCCCACCATCCCCAACCCCCACCATCCCCATGCACACTTAAAACGGAATTCAAAACGGTAATCGATACCGCCTAATCGAATTGTCTGCGTGCCTGAGCTAAGTTTAGCTCTGGGACTCCTTGAATTGCACGACATAAATGAACCGGCTAATCACTAATCAATTTAATACTTTCAAATTATGTTTAAAACAACTCAGTCCCTGGCACCAGACTGGGAAAAAATGTACATGATTCTAAAAACTGAATAATTTATGTACTTTACTAGACTTATATAAATGGTAAATTTAGGAAAAAGGGACGTAATATCTAGTACACTATAGAGTAAAATCAATGGCACCATTATTTTACTATTATAATGTCAACATTGTTTTTGAAGTTGAATAAATGCCACCATTATATTTTTAGTAAAAAAAAACCACTTCTATAAAAGTTGGATCTTTATTAATTCGTGTCTGACTTCATGTCGTCATGTAAATTAAACGAATTAATGGGTCAGTTCGATCTGCCCTTGGGGGCTTATGACTGATTGGCTCCCATAGTGCCGCGGTACCCGGCACGGTAACCAGGAATTCTTCTTGGGAGGGGTTCACATATTTTTCCATATATATATATATATATATATATATATATATATATATATATATATATATATATATATATATATATATATATATATATATATAGTGGTGTGAGTCCCTGGTAGGGGTTATAACCCCCCTCCTGCCTACGCCACTGGTGAACGTATTTGGTGCTAGTCGGCACGGAAACGTACAATTGTCAGGCATTACTCCACATGGTAACCTACAAGTATTGGCGCAGTGTTGATGCGCATCGAGAAATCTTTAAATCAGCTACTTGTGTCTCCGTCAAATAATAAACGTCCTAGAGGCAGTATAATACAACTTGTAGGTGTGTATAGATTATTCTAGATCTGAACTTCTAGCTTGACCTACCGCTTGAAAATAATCATGTGGGTAGTCATGTATATAGTGGGTTTGCTTCAGACTTTTTTCTCCGGGGGTGGAGAGGCACTCGGGTCGGCGCCCGGTGTGGATGCCCCACCATCCCTCAGCTAGCCACACCTCTGGTGGGGCGGACTCTGGTTTAAGTGTATAATATAATCCAGAGGCGTAACGAGGGGGGGGTGCGGACCGCACCGGTGACACCATTTAGGGGGTGACACCAAGGCAAAAAAATTGCAAAATATATAGAGAAAAATGATAATTCCACTTAATTAAGAGATTAATTCGAGTGTTAAATAGTCTTTTAAGAGGTGCAAATCGAAAGTTTGAAGAGGGGGTGCAAATCGAAAATTGAAAGTTTGTCCCCGGGAAGGGTCGCTACGCATCTGGGGGGTGACACCATTAATAAGTGCCGCACCGGGTGACACCCGACCTCGCTACGCCGCTGATATAATCTTTATAAATTATATATTTTTATATAGAAAGAAACACCATGCGTTATTAATATACATGCATGCTTGAATGTTTGACCTATGTGTAGAATTACATATCACTCATATCAATAACATCGTACATATGTGATATATAAATATGCTGTTTGTATCGGCCTGATTAGCTGTTCTACGCAACCAGATTGTTGAGTTTGTTTTCTTACTCGATTACATGCAGACATTCTGTATACCATGGTGCGAAACACCCAACCCATTACTGCTATACGCGAGAATCACAAAACAAGTTTACTTGAACCATACAAAATGTGGAAGGGAAATAATAACACGAAATAAAGTAATTGTTTAAACGTGTAGGTTCGACAAAGGTAAATAATCTAAAGAAAACAGCCGTGAGTTATTTACCCTTAGCACCAGCTTGAACAATGAGATTTATAATGTGACCGAATTCCTAGGGGAGGGGGCCTGCTTGTATAAGGCAAGGTGTTAAAAAAAATTGATGCAGTTCTCTTGTGTTGGGAGTTACAAGTGTTTGTCGATGCTATATTTTTCCAGTGACTAGTGTCTGATAAAAAACTAGAATCGGGTTTTTGAAGGGTTTAAGTGTGTGTATGTCGTGTGAGATGCGAGTTTGAAATCTATTTGGACGTGGTTGGGCAAATGGTTGAACCTGGTTAAACAGCTTTGGTTGAACATTACAAGGCTAAACAGCTTTAGTTGAAACTAGTTAAACAGCTATGGTTGAACAGCTTAGGTTAAACACAGAGACGTAGCGACCCTTCCCGGCGCCCGGGGACAAACTTTTCGATTTGCACCCCCCCCCCCTTCAAGATTTCGATTTGCACCCCCCCCCCCTCACACTTCCGATTTGCACACCCCTCAACCTTTCCATTTATTTATCTGACCCATTTTGGCGCCCCCTAAGGTCGGCGTCCGGGGGCATATGTTCCCCCCCCCCCTCGCTACGCTACTGGTTAAACATGGTTAAACAAAACAGCTTTAATTATTAAAATACAATGCTAGATCTATACAAATTTGGTTGAAAATGGTTCAACAGTTAAGGTTGAACCTGGTTAAATAGTTTAGGTTAAAACTGGTTAATTAAACAACATTGGTTGAGTCTGGTTAAACCACACCAGGCATTGATTTTTCTCGTATATTTTGACTTAAGAATAGACCTACCTATTCATTCCATAAAATTCAAGTCTTTTTAAAAACTCTTTTCTTCAGGTTCAAAGATGGCGCCACCTGTTCCAGCTAAACCCAAGTACTTTCAGCCAATCACAGCTTTAGGCCCGCCCAGCCAGCAGCCAATGGGCTACCAGTATGGCAACAGAAGTCCCAGCCACTATAGCAGTGACTCAGCCCTAGGGTCCCCTGACGTCAGCACTAAGTCCAACATCTCTGCAGGACCCCTAGATAATGGTAGTCAACACTTTTTGTTCATGGGACCCCTTGATAATGATAGTCAACACTTTTTGTTCATGGGACCCCTTGATAATGGTAGTCAACACTTTTTGTTCATGGGACCCTTAGATAATGGTTCATGGGACCCCTAGATAATGGTAGTCAACACTTTTTGTTCATTGGACCCCTAGATAATGGTAGTCAACACTTTTTGTTTATGGGACCCCTAGAAAATGGTAGTCAACAATTTTTGTTCATGGGACCCCTTGATAATGGTAGTCAACACTTTTTGTTCATGGGACCCTAGATAATGGTAATCAACACTTTTTGTTCATGGGGCCCCCATAGTAATGGTAGTCATTGGTTCATGGGACCCCTAGATAATCGTAGTCAAAATTGTTTATTCATGAGGCCCCAAGATAATCGTAGTCAACATTTTTTGTTTACAACATTAAGCTTTCAACTGTCATTAAATAAAAATGCTCGGTTGAATGGTGTCACTAAGACTAGTGTCACCCTGGTGCTATCATTAAAATGTCACCCCCCACCCCCACCCTATCATTTTTTTTCATTTTTCCTTTGGTGTATTAAGTTACCTACCTTCTCCTACCATATTCTAATTTTAACTGGGCTAACCATTTGTTGTCCGTCAATAGTGTGACTTTTCAATTTAGTGTCACCCCCTTAATCCAAGTGAGGATTGCTGTAAATATTTAATCACCTTTAATTAAGTAAATTTTGCTCATGGTGTCCTAAGGAGAAAGTCAGCCTTGATAGGAGAAATCTAGTTGTGGTCATCTTTCTCTATAAACTGTTTGACTACACCACCTACACAATCTTGTGTAATGTACTAGAGTTTACTTTACATTAGAGTAGGTCCTATCTAGTGCAAAGGGCACTTACAAGTACATTATAAACATGTAACTATATGTGAAAATAAGTAAAGTTTCCCTTTCAAACCTGACGGTCTATGAGGCAAGTGAAGTAGAGATCCCTTGTTTTTCTGTGACCTCGGCATATGAAGAGATAGTGTGGTCAGCACTATGCCCAGCGGCCTTTACTTTCCCTAATGTCAGTTAGGTACCCATCTGAGTTGGGTGGACTCAGGGACGGTCTACTGACTTGAACCCGGATTTGAACTTGAGACTTATGGGTTAGCAGTCCAGCTCTCTACCGCTAGACCACTCTGTCCCACTATGTGTGAAAATAATGTGCTTTAAATTTGTCTAAAATTGTTTTAAATTTCTATGTAAAAACATGTATTTAATTAGTAGACTTTTTAAAATGTGTTTTTAATTTTAATGTAAATTTTGTTTTTAACTTCTTTCTAAACATGTTTTTAATTTGTATCTAATTTTGTTTATGATTCATGTCTCAAATGTGATTTTTCTCCCCAGGTAAAGACAGTCCACCTCCCCCTCCCCCTGACGTGGCACAGAATGACCTCATGATGCGCCTGGGTCTTCTCCTGGGTGACCGTGTCCCACCCCTGGGGGCAACACCGCCTCCAGGTGTCCAGGATAGCTCCGCCAACACCCCACAAAGTGATGCGGCCTTCAACACCATTTCTTCCTTGTCTAGCAGTGAGCATACACCTGAGAGGTGTCTGTCTGACACTAGCCCCATGTCCACTTTAACAGGTAAAGACAAACTCCACTAGCGCAAAATAACTTTACATAAGGCTCATCTATACTTTCACAATTTGGGGCATTCGAATATTATTATTTTTTTAAAAATTTCACTGTAACACTCTGCTTATTAAAAGTTTCTTTAAAGGGTTGGTTATATTTATATTAATTTTTGTATTGCATAATTCATGCAAAATTTTACAAGCTCAAAAAAAAGTTGTTTAACTAAATGGAAAACAAACTCTGTCACTGCATAATTCCCTGTTCTATCATCCGCTACATTTTCTCTGCACACTTCATTAGTTTTGCTGTGCTAGCAGCTTTTTAACTACCACCACCAATTTTTTTAAAGTTTATTTGCTTAGCAGTTTAAAAGATAGATGTTATTGGTGTTGCAAATAATTTTTCACAGTTAAAATAAATAACTTAACAATACCTGTGTGATTACTATTTGCATAAACCTCATTGCAGCTATCATTTTTATTTAGTCAATCACTTGTGTTAGTGTAAAAATCTGACTATGTTTATGTGTTAAAGCTTTTTATCTGTATTTCAGCATTCTTGAATTAGATAATTTAAGTTAGAAATTTCGTTTATTTTTTAATTAGCTTACCAGTTTTAGTTAAAATAGTGCGATTTTTTTGTTTAAAATTTTTGCTGGAAGAGATATTTATATTTCCTCAATGTTGAAATCACATGCACCTGCTTTGATTAACTCACTGACCTTTAATTTGTCTTGACCCCACGCACAGCCTCATCCGGGAGCGAACTGGGCACGCCCATATTGGGACTCCGCACCCACCCCACTTCTTTGTATCCCGCAGGGTCCCGGGACTTTAGCGCTGACAGTGTCACGTCGTTGATGTCAACCAGTAGTGTCAGCCCTCAGGCTACAACACAGAGACCCCACTCTATCACTAGTGAGTTCTGTTTGTTGGTGTCACAGTTTTGTTTGCATCTGGTTTTGTAAGATTTGTGTCTGTTGGTGTCAGGTTTTTTGTTGTATGGTCTGCATCAATTTTTGTAAATTCTGAAAGTTTTGTAATGTTGTTGTTATATCCGAATGTTTAGTTTTTTGGTCTGCATTTATATTAATGTTTTGTTGTCATGTCTGAATATTTGGTTTGTTACCCGTAATTTAAAAAATTTTAATTTCTGAATTTTTTGTTTGTAAATTTTGCATCTCTTGTCATCAGTTCTAATTTTTTTTTTGCTCCGCATCTATTTTTGTAGTTTTTAAGCTTATTGTTGTATGTTCTTTCTCTGTTTAAGTTTTTCATTTTTTTCTTTACGCATACTTTCCCTTACTTCTCTTTTTGTTCCTCTAAGTTTCACATTTCTTCTAGAAATTTTTTTAAAACTATTTTATTATTCTTGTAATTTCTGTTTTGAACCTGTAATTTCTAAGTCCAATTTTTTAGTATTATTAATCTAATTATTTAAATCACTGTTTAACCAGCTGTCAACTATTTTCTAGCCTCTATGCCAGGTGCTATAGAAGAATTGCCTATGTTTAGTGGGAAGAGAAGATCTTCCTTGAGGCGATCAGCTAGAGCCACATTAACAGATGGACGACGTTAGTTTGCTCTATAGAACTCTTAGATTTAGCTTGTAATTTTAGCTAGTAGTTAATTGATTTAATTAAAAAAAAGACAAGAAGTTCCATTAATGTTATATTAATTACTTTTTTTTTAGTTTTGCTTTGTTTTTATTTTTGTTCAGTGGATGTCAATTCACGTGTTTAATCATTGCATTTTTGATACTGGATTATTTTTGGTCTTATCATAGTTACTTTAAGGCTTAATGTGTAATCTGTATAATTATGATAGACTGACTTAATTCATTTCAATCAGATTCAGTTTAAGTTTTTTTAAATTGTCAGGTTTTATAAATTAGAAAGAAATGATAATAAAATAACAAAAATATAGACAAGTAAAAAAATATCTGTTACTTTACTTTGAATTCAAAAAACTTCAAAACCAATTGTCTTTAGCCTAATTTTATTTTTATAAAAAAATTGAGATTTGAATAACTTGAAAATAATATTTATTTTTGCTAATTTTATGGCTAGAAATTATATTATTATTAACATATTTGATACTTTATAGGCCCTACCTGTGTTACACCATATAATATTAAGAAATGATAAATTATGTTGATGTAAATTTCTTAATTAGAATAAATTAAAATATTAAATCTAAATTTATTAATGAGAGCAACTAAAAATGATGTAGATGTGAATTTCTTGCAGCCCGGTTTACCCCCATCAAGCCACCCCAACTACAGCTGAAGCCGCTTGTGTTTGAGGTGCCTCACCCTGAAGGGAAGCCGGTGTTTGTGGGGCGGGCCTGGTTGTTCAACGAACTGGAAACTGTGCTGTGTGGGGATGGTGGGGGTGTCTCCAAGCCAGGGGGTGTGGTCATCGTAGGTGGGCTGGGCACGGGTAAAACAGCCATCGTGGAGCAGCTGGTTGATCATAGCTGTTTTGGTGATGGGAACTCTGGTCTTGTCCCACCTAGTGAGTACACGAGATTTGTTTTGTTATGCTTAAATTAGTTACAGTTTTTATTAAACCTTATTATTTTTAAACCTACTATTCATTCTGGTTGTATGCTGGCTATTGTTTTTTTTAAGTACTGCTACCATTATTCTTACCATAGATTAAAATTACATTAAAAAAGACAAAATTAAATAAATGCTATCCCTGAGCCTATCTCAAACCCTAACTCTAACCCTACACTACAGTAACATTTGAAGAGAAAAAATACAGCTTCATACTTCTGTAATTTTCCACTAATTTTATTAGAAGAACAGCTTGTTTCTCAGTACTAAAATTATTTACATAAAATTAGAAAGAATTATTGGTCAGCTACTGCTAACAGAAGGTACATTTACATTGTCTTACTATTGTGTCTATTCAAAATCAAATAGCAGTTTTTTTTTAAAAGTCATTAATAACAAATCAAATCTACTCTATGGCCAGATATATAATTTGTTTACTTTTCCTTAAGATATATTAATTTAATTTGGCTGTAGCGTGTCTTAAAAATCCCATGCAAAATAATGCAAAGCCAAGTGGTTCTATTTCTATCAGATTTAATAATAAAAATGCATATTTCCTATTTAATTGACCAAATTATTTTGTCTAGGGCCACCCTCACAAGCTCACCAGAGCCGCACAGCCTCCAACTCTCAGCTGACAGACTACGCAGCTTTGAATGGCCTCGGCTTCCAGGTGGTGGCGTACCACCTGTGTCAAGCTGACAACAACTCCACCTGCATGGTCGCAGACATGGTGTCCAGCATCGCTGGTCAGCTAGCCCGGGCACCACAGCTGACCGCCTATAGAGATCTGTTACTGCAGGTAAACTTTGGTCTTAGAGCTTGAAAACATGAATAGATGTCAAGCATATTTTACTTAGTCTACCATTTGACTGCATGGTCGAATGGTAGAGCATTTGGCTGCAACCCAAAGGTCTTGAGTTCGGATCTTGGTTTAGACTTGTCACTGTAGGTCGTCCTTGAGTCCACTCAGCTCTGATGGGTACTTCACTTATATTAGGGAAAAGTAAAGTTGCTGGGCATATTTCTGACCACACCATCATTTCATATGCAGAGGTTAAAGAAAGATGAACTCGACTTCATCTGACCAAAAAATCGCTAGGTCTAAAGAAAAATGTTATATATTTTCAAAAATAACAAAGAACACTTTTCAGAAAATTTAACTGTTTTTACAAATTTTGTTACTATTTTTTTTTCAATCTTTTAAAGTTACATTTTGTATAATACAATTTCAAAATATGAAAATTTCAAACTTTTTATCAAATTATCTGGAAATCTGAAATTCATGATTTAAAAAAATAAAAATAATAAATTTTTAATTCTTTTGAATTGTGTAATTGCAGGAACCACAGCTTCAAAGTCTTCTGAGTATTCGTGACTGTATCCAGAATCCTTCCTTGTCTTTCCTGAAAGGTATTTTAGAACCACTGAGGATGCTAAAGAATGCTGGCAAGATCTTCTCCGACAGCTGCATTATTTTGATTGACTCGTTAAACGAGGCAGAATTCCACAAGCCCGACTACGGTGACACCATAGCCTCGTTTGTGTGTCGCCATGCCAACAAGTTCCCCTCCTGGCTGAAACTGGTGCTGACAGTGCAGACGGCCCTGCAGGAGATCACTTCCTCCCTGCCGTTCCACCGGGTGCTCCTGGATAAGCATGGCGACCAGTCGGAGAATGTATCCAAAGACATTGTGGATTACGTGGAGCACAGAATCTCAACAAGTTCCTCCATCCGCAGCAATATATCCATCAACGGCCGGCTGGATAAGGACATGCAGGGGAAGTTTTCCTCCCACATCCAGGGATTAAGTAAAGGAAGTTTTCTCTATGCAAAGCTCATTCTTGACCTTATAGAAGGAGGTCAGCTTGTTCCAAAATCTTCCAACTATAAAATTCTTCCCGTGAACTTGTCGGAGATTTTCCTTCTCCACTTCAACATTAGATTCTCCAGTGTGAGATCGTTTGAACGAGTTTCCACCATCCTGGGGGTCTGTTTAGCTGCCTTATACCCTTTGACCCTGGAGGATATTTTTCTTACCGTCAACTCAGGATACACCCAGAGGTACATCAGCTGGGAAGATTTTTGCCAAAGGATGAATGTGCTGGCAGGATTTCTGTACCGTCGTCATGACAACACGTACATGTTTTTTCACCCAGCTTTCAGGGAATGGTTGATCAGGAGAGATGAGACGGATTCCCCTAAATTTCTTTGTGATCTTCGGTAAGTTTATATTTAGATCTAACTTGAATTCTGTATGTTTGATATCTTTTTATTCAATTTTGTCACTCTTTGCATTCTTAATTGGCTGGCTATTTTCAGTGAAAAATGGTGTTGTCTCTTATTCTATTCCTAAATATTTACTTGCATTAATTACTGGAAAGATGTATTTATAAAGTTAAGATTAGTTTATTTTTGTTTAACCAAAAGTTTAAAATGTCAGGCATAAAATGTTAAACAGAAGTTATATGGGGCTTGTTTTAACTGGCCCAAAAAAATTTTAACTTTTGATAAGTGTACAACCCAGGAACTTAACAAAAAAATCAATAGTAGTCTCAATAAGACAAGTAGAGAGCAAAATAGTCACTGAAAATTTTGTAACTTAACCATTCCACTTACCACTGCAATAATGTAATTGCCAACAATTAGTAATTTACATAATAATAGTAGGCTACATACAATTTCAACAACAAAATTCAGTTGTTTGCTTTTGTTTGATTTTACTAAGTTAATTAGTTAATTATTATTTATAGCAGAAATTAATTTCTTTTATTAGTGGACTTCATTTACTGGAGTTTAGGATTTTCCATAAATCTGCACACGCCTTTTTGTTCCAATAACATTTCTCTTCCAAAATTTTGTTCTCACTCCTGAAACTGTTTTATTTATGCAGCAGTGCAGACTTTGATTACCGGTGAGTTTTGATTGGTATCCCACACTCCATAGCTCGTTAAGTTTTGATTTCCAATCCAGGCATTATTTTTTTTTTGTTGGCTGTTCAGTTGTTTTGTTAATTAATCAAATCAAGCTTGCACATCACATTTGCAGCATTACTTTTTGTTTAGCCCACTGACTTGATTTTAAGAATGCTAAAGAAAAGAGTAGGAATGCTTGATGATGCACTGTGATCAGACTTAGAAGCTTTACGTGAACTATGTTGTTATAAGAACCTGTTTACTACTTTCTTAATGTCGTGTACTGTGAAAAGTCTAGGCAAGCTGCAGTGTGCTGCAGTTAATTCTTGTTGTTTGATTAGTTTTATTTTTTCTTAGTCTAAAAGGATAATATTAAAAATTATTTTGTTTTTAATTTAATTTAATTTATTGTTTTGCACTGAAGTTATTCTATATTAATACAACTTATTCTAAATTATTTGTTTTGATTTTTTTTTTTTAAACACAATTTTGAATTACTGCAAATAATGAGTGTGCTGTATTAAAACTTATTTTGTTTTGTTTACTTTGTTTATAAATTCAATAACAAAAATAGACCACAGCATGTGAGGGATTCAAAATAATTCTGTAGATAAAGAGTGATTTTCCTTTTTTTCATCTAACATTTCAAATTGCATCACATGAGAGTTTTGTTTTTAAATTTAATTTGTTTCAATTTTTTTATTTTTTTTATTTAAAGATATTTACCAAAAATAAAAAAAATATAGGGCTTACTTCAGATTTATAAAATAGGATGTTGAGAAATTACAAAAAAAAAGTTTTTTGAAACCACATTACATAATCATTTGCAATGTTAAGGCAAATTATTTTGTTGTTTAATAAAATTAATAGTTTATGTCATAAATGTTTGTTTTTAATATTGTTTTTATTTATTTATTCAATTAATATTGTTAAAATTGTGTTGTGTTTTGACTTAAATTTACAAATTAATGATCATTGACGGTGACTTGTTATTTTCTACTACATAACCCCACTAGATGGGCTGAGATGACTTGTTATTTTCTACTACATAACCCCACTAGATGGGCTGAGATGACTTGTTATTTTCTACTACATAACCCCACTAGATGGGCTGAGATGACTTGTTATTTTCTACTACATAACCCCACTAGATGGGCTGAGATGACTTGTTATTTTCTACTACATAACCCCACTAGATGGGCTGAGATGACTTGTTATTTTCTACTACATAACCCCACTAGATGGGCTGAGATGACTTGTTATTTTCTACTACATAACCCCACTAGATGGGCTGAGATGACTTGTTATTTTCTACTACATAACCACACTAGATGGGCTGAGATGACTTGTTATTTTCTACTACATAACCCCACTAGATGGGCTGAGATGACTTGTTATTTTCTACTACATAACCCCACTAGATGGGCTGAGATGACTTGTTATTTTCTACTACATAACCCCACTAGATGGGCTGAGATGACTTGTTATTTTCTACTACATAACCCCACTAGATGGGCTGACATTGCCACCATTATGCACTCAACCACCACGCAGCATATGCTTCCTTTTTCACCAACACACATGTAAAGATTTCAGTTATATATTCTCACACATTGTTTCCTGAGCCTCTATAAATGTTAAAGCTGTTGCTGGAAAAATATTTGGGTTTTAGCTGTAGGGGCTGTTGGTTTTTTTAAATCTCAAATAGCTAATTTTAAAGGCTGGACTGAAATAGACGAAATTTTGTTTAATGTTCTCATCATTTGTTAGAATTCCAGGTAGACTGTAGGTGTGTTCTAACAAATTAGTTATTGCATTAGTTTTTTGTGTAGGGAAAAGAAGGTTCCATTATGTTTTTTTTATAAAGAATGATAAGATAACTTTAATAGAATACATTATGAATAAAACCAGCTGGCAAAGACAACTATAATGTCAGAAGAAAGAATTGTGAGCATAAAACTAGCCAGGGAAAGTAGGGTGCAAGAACTGTATGCATGCATGGGAATATCCTGACGACCCTAATATCTTCTCAAATAGTTTTTAATTTAATTATTTTTTTAATCCAAGAAGTCTTGTAACTAAGCAGAAACTTAGTTTGTGCTTTGATTCTGAACTGCTATGCATTGGGTTTTACTTTGGCTGACTACCTTTCTTTTTTGGCTGACTGGCTGTTTTTTCCATTTTCTGTACTTAAAAGATGTACAGAGATTGAAGTAATAACACCACAGAAAAAAATTTGAACATGAATGCAATATTTTTTTATAGCTACAAGATAAAACCAGTTGAAAAAAAATTTTATTTGAAATTTTGTGTAAAATATAAAAGCAATGCCCCAAGTGGCATTTTTTATGTTGTTGCCAGATTTTATTATTATGCAAAGGCATATAATTTTTTTAAATTAAATTTTACCTTTTTTTTTTTAGTTTCATGTAATTTTACCTTATGTATATCTATGATTTAAAAAATTTATATTCGCAATTTGAAGGAATCTTTTTTTTAGTTCCTCTGTTTTTTTTTATAAACTTGATTATATTTTTCTTTTTCTAGGAACGGCCATGCTCTCATGGCTTTCCGTCTGTCGAGAGTGTCAGCGCCGCTGCCCCCGGAGAAAACAATTGAGCTGGGCCACCACATCCTGAAGGCCCACATCTACAAGACCATCAGTCGCCAGCTGGGCTACTCGTCCAGAGACATGCAGGCCTACTGGATGTGTCTGAGCTCTAACAGCCTCAACACAGCCCTGGTCTCTCACAGGAACATCTTCTCACCCAATGTCAAGGTCAGTGGAATTTTTTTAAAATTTTAAATTTGGTAATCGGCAGAAATGTTGGGTGAGCAGGTGGTTGTTTTAGTGCCGGCACAAATAGGGTGGGTGTGTTTTGGGGGGGGGGGAGTTTTGGTGCCAACCCAGTATGTGAGAGTACAGGGTAAGGGGAGGGAGTTTTGGTGCCAACTCAGTATGTGAGAGTACAGGGGGGGGGGGGAAATTCATGTTACTATCTCTGGAATCATCAGACTGCTCTGTGATATCGCAAATTATTCAATCAACCAATCCAGTGAAAATTGAACTTTAGAATTTGTTATCACATTTAGGCAAATGTCCTTTTGGGTGTTTTTTTGCATTCTCGCAAACATCCTTTCCAAAAACGTTCAATGGCAGATAACGTTTGGGCATCTTCACTCAAGATAAAAATGTTTTTGTCCAATCGCTCTATAAATTTTCCAATGTTTTTGTCCAGGTGAGCCGACTGATCCTCCTCTCTGGAGCCAACCCCAACACCCGCACGGAGTACCTCAACAACGCCCCTCTCCTGTGTGTGGCTGCCAGAGAAGGATTCGCAGACATGGTGGCGCTGCTGATGGAGTTTAACGCCGACCCTAACGCCACCTCTGACACCTCCATGACACCACTGTGTCACGCGGCCGCAGCAGGACACCGTGACGTCATGAGAATGCTGTGTTTGAGAAATGCAAGGGTGAGTAAAATAAATCTGTATCACATTTTTTAGTTTATCCACATATAGATGGCAGCTTTAAAAGCTCTCCAGTACTGATTGATTGTGTCAGTTTTACAATTCTCTCTGCCATGTGAATCAATCTACCAGTTATTACTGTTTCTTTCAAATCATATCCCTCCATGTCTGTTTTTAGAACATGTGTTGCAAGTGTTATTCATATTGATCATAAAAGCAAATTAAATATTCAGGTTATTAATTATTAATTAAATTAAAAAATATTCTTCCTGGTCTAATTCAATATTTTTCTGTGGGGGATAAAAAACAATGTTTACATTTTTTCCAAAAATGTTAATTGAAAATCTCCTGCAGTTTGCTGTGAATGTGACTTTAAATAATACAGAACAGGTAGCTTGCAATGCGAACAATTGTTTTTATATTGCTGAATTAATACTTTAATCTTAGAGCAATTGTAACTAGAATTCAGAACAGGTAGTTTAATCTGAGAATAGTTGTATTTATATTGCTGGATTAATACTTTAATCTTAGAGCAATTATAATTGTAATTCAGAACAGGTAGTTTAATCTGAGAACAATTATAATTCCTGTTGAAATGAAAATATGTATGTCTCAAAACTATGGGAATTTGTATAAAAATATGGATTCTTGTATATAAGAGTTGTAAAAAATACCCATAGGATGATGTATAGACTATAGAGCTATGGGATTCTGTATAAAAATATATGAATTTTGTATACAACTATGGGATATCATTTTAAATTATTTGATTATTTTAAAATATGGGATGTTTAAATTCTGGGATGTTGTATAAAATTACGGGACATCATTTAAAACTATGGGGTGATGTTGTAAATGATAGGATGTGGTTTGAATTAGGTTTGTTATCGTTAAACAATGGCATGTTGTTGAAAACCATCAGCTGTTGCATGAATACTTAACAAAACTGTCTTCTGGCTATTTCAGCTGTCTGCGCAGGACAACCAAGGCCAGTGTGCTGCCATACATGCTGTCATCCACGGTCAGCTGGACGCACTTGTTTTCTTGCTGCAGAGCAACTGGGCAGTGGTGACTGGCGAGCCAACCAAAGATGAGGCCGTCACCCAGAGCTTTGTGGCAGCTGCAGCCACTGGCAATAGACAGGTGAGTTCAGGCAGACATTTACAGGTGGGTTCAGGTAGACATTTACAGGTGGGTTCAGGTAGACATTTACAGGTGGGTTTAGGTGGACATTTACAGGTGGGTTTAGGTGGACATTTACAGGTGGGTTCAGGTAGACATTTACAGGTGAGTTCAGGTGGACATTTACAGGTGGGTTCAGGCAGACATTTACAGGTGGGTTCAGGTAGACATTTACAGGTGGGTTTAGGTGGACATTTACAGGTGGGTTCAGGTGGACATTTACAGGTGGGTTCAGGTAGACATTTACAGGTGAGTTCAGGTGGACATTTACAGGTGGGTTCAGGTAGACAGGTGGGTTCAGGTAGACATTTACAGGTGGGTTCAGGTGGACATTTACAGGTGGGTTCAGGTGGAGATTTACAGGTGGGTTCAGGTGGACATTTACAGGTGGGTTCAGGTAGACAGGTGGGTTCAGGTGGACATTTACAGGTGAGTTCAGGTGGACATTTACAGGTGGGTTCAGGCAGACATTTACAGGTGGGTTCAGGTGGACATTTACAGGTGAGTTCAGGTGGACATTTACAGGTGGGTTCAGGCAGACAGGTGGGTTCAGGTAGACATTTACAGGTGGGTTCAGGTGGACATTTACAGGTGGGTTCAGGTGGACATTTACAGGTGGGTTCAGGTGGACATTTACAGGTGGGTTCAGGTGGACATTTACAGGTGGGTTCAGGTAGAAAGGTGAGTTCAGGTGGACATTTACAGGTGGGTTCAGGTAGACATTTACAGGTGGGTTCAGGTGGACATTTACAGGTGGGTTCAGGTGGACATTTACAGGTGAGTTCAGGCAGACATTTACAGGTGGGTTCAGGTAGACATTTACAGGTGGGTTCAGGTGGACATTTACAGGTGGGTTCAGGTGGACATTTACAGGTGGGTTCAGGTGGACATTTACAGGTGGGTTCAGGTAGACAGGTGGGTTCAGGTAGACATTTACAGGTGGGTTCAGGCAGACATTTACAGGTGGGTTCAGGCAGACATTTACAGGTGGGTTTAGGTGGACATTTACAGGTGGGTTCAGGTGGACATTTACAGGTGGGTTTAGGTAGAAATTTACAGGTGGGTTTAGGTAGAAAGGTGGGTTCAGGTGGACATTTACAGGTGGGTTTAGGTGGACATTTACAGGTGGGTACCTGCAGACATTTACAGGTGGGTTTAGGTAGACATTTACAGGTGGGTTCAGGTGGACATTTACAGGTGGGTTTAGGTAGAAATTTACAGGTGAGTTCAGGTAGACATTTACAGGTGGGTTCAGGTGGACATTTACAGGTGGGTTCAGGTAGACATTTACAGGTGGGTTCAGGTGGACATTTACAGGTGGGTTCAGGCAGACATTTACAGGTGGGTTCAGGTAGACATTTACAGGTGGGTTCAGGTGGACATTTACAGGTGGGTTCAGGTAGACATTTACAGGTGGGTTCAGGTGGACATTTACAGGTGGGTTTAGGTAGAAATTTACAGGTGGGTTTAGGTAGAAAGGTGGGTTCAGGTGGACATTTACAGGTGGGTTCAGGTGGACAGGTGGGTTTAGGTGGACATTTACAGGTGGGTACCTGCAGACATTTACAGGTGGGTTTAGGTAGACATTTACAGGTGGGTTCAGGTGGACATTTACAGGTGGGTTTAGGTAGAAATTTACAGGTGAGTTCAGGTGGACATTTACAGGTGGGTTCAGGTGGACATTTACAGGTGGGTTCAGGTGGACATTTACAGGTGGGTTCAGGCTTTTTGTGAAGCTGATAGGGGATAATGTAAACAATGTTTTAAAAGCATGACATTATTTATGGATGATATTCTTTATCAGAATAATGAACTATTTAACACATTAATCAAGTTCTGCAGAAAACAAGTATATAACAAATAAAATGTTTACATAGCTGATTAATGAAACAATTACAAGCCAAATTAGATAAATTAACAGTTATGTTAAAACTGTTAGCAAAATTTGTAAACTAAATATTTTAGTTAATTAAAACAAATATTAAAAACATGAAATTTTTTTAGTGGTAATAAGAGTTGGGAGTATAGAAATTTATTATATTTTTGTCTGATACACCCTATCTTGATTCATGCAGCAAGAGGTATAGCTGTACCTAATTAGCTTAAATTAATCTCAAGGCCTAATTGCTTTATTGCTATTTTCAGATCCTGGAGTACCTACACCAAGCTTACAGTGCTTCTAGACTTAATTTAGTTGACTCCCTGCAGCAAGAAACTGGTAAACATTTTCTTTATGATCTGCTGTAATTATTTTTAAAAAAAAATACTAACAGTAAAAGTGACACTTCTATGTAAATCCTGAAATGCTGTGTGTATTATGTTATTTTTGATGATGAATATTTTACCTTTAAGAAATATTAGGATTATTGTTAATGTGAAACAATAAATAAGTGAACACAATTTTTTAGTAAAGTAATTTATTTATATCATTACAAAATTTTAAGTTACAACATTTTTAAAGAGTCATTTTTTGTTTATATTATTAAAAATCTTAAAAATCTTATTTAAAAAGTCACATGATCAAATTTTTTGCCCCCAGCGATGACAGCTGCATGCCTGTTTGGCAGGAAGGAGGCTGTACACTTTCTGCTGGAGTGTGGCGCCGACGTGACAATCTCCAACAGCAAGTCTTTCACTCCGCTCCTGTGTGCCGCCAAGTCAGGGAGGTGGGAAATCTGTGATATGCTCCTGGCTAATGGCGCTGACCTGACCACACCAGACAAATATGGCCGCACGCCGCTGATGATTGCTTCAGGGGAGGGGCATGTGAGGGTGGTGAACTTGTTGTTGGATAAAGGTTAGTCTTAGAACATGTTAGGGTTAACTTGTTGTTGGATAAAGGTTAGTCTTAGAACATGTTAGGGTTGACTTGTTGTTGGATAAAGGTTAGTCTTAGAACATGTTAGGGTTAACTTGTTGTTGGATAAAGGTTAGTCTTAGAACATGTTAGGGTGAACTTGTAAAATCAATTAATGTCTTACACCATGTACAGAAGACTAACTTATTTTTGGCCTAGTGTGTTTAGATTAATTTTTTTTAAATTATTAAATACTGGATACTTTTGCGTTTTAATTAAGTTAAAAAAAAATTCTAGATAATAAAATAAAAATTACAAAAGCAATGGAACAGAAATATAAACATAATGAACGTTAGACTAGGAAGTGTTTTCTTTTAAAAAGTTTTTTTATAACCCCATTTGCCTAAATAATCTATTTTCTACTTTCCAATTTCCACATATTTCTACTCTCCAACTTATACTCTCCAACTTATACTCTCCAACTTATACTCTCCAAAATTTTACTCTCCAAAATTTTACTCTCCAACTTATACTCTCCAACTTATACTCTCCAACTTATACTCTACAACTTCTACTCTACAACTTCTACTCTACAACTTATACTCTCCAACTTACATTCTCCAACTTATACTCTCCGACTTATACTCTCCAATTTATACTCTCCGACTTATACTCTCCAATTTATACTCTCCGACTTATACTCTCCAACTTATACTCTTCAGGTGCCTGCCAGAAAAGTACAGACAAAGAAGGCCTGACAGCACTGTGCTGGGCGTGTCTACGTGGTCATATGCCAGTTGTTGAGTCACTGGTCAAGCACGGGTCAGACATTCATCATACGGACAACAGTGGACGCAGCCCTTTACACCTCGCAGCCTTCTACGGGGATGCTAATATTGTAAGAATGTGTGTCTATGTGATAGTTGTTTAAATATTGTAAGAACATGGGTCTATGTGATGGTTGTTTGAATATTGTATGATGTTTGTTATGTGATGGTTGTTTTAAAATTATAAAGAAATTAGCAACATTAAATTATTTAAACATCGTAAACATTGCTAAAAATAGAGAATAAGGTTTATAATATAAACTTTAGTGATCTAGACCTTTAAGCGTATTTTACTGTTTGTTGAGATGTCTTGTGTGATTGTTCCCTAGGTTCAGTTCCTGATAGACCATGGAACATCTATAGAACACATATTTTACTGTTTGTTGAGATGTCTTGTGTTTGTTCCCTAGGTTCAGTTCCTGATAGACCATGGCACATCTATAGAACACATATTTTACTGTTTGTTGTGATGTCTTGTGTTTGTTCCCTAGGTTCAGTTCCTGATAGACCATGGCACATCTATAGAACACATATTTTACTGTTTGTTGTGATGTCTTGTGTTTGTTCCCTAGGTTCAGTTCCTGATAGACCATGGCACATCTATAGAACACATATTTTACTGTTTGTTGTGATGTCTTGTGTTTGTTCCCTAGGTTCAGTTCCTGATAGACCATGGCACATCTATAGAACACATATTTTACTGTTTGTTGTGATGTCTTGTGTTTGTTCCCTAGGTTCAGTTCCTGATAGACCATGGAACATCTATAGAACACATATTTTACTGTTTGTTGTGATGTCTTGTGTTTGTTCCCTAGGTTCAGTTCCTGATAGACCATGGCACATCTATAGAACACACAGACCTGAGTGGGATGCGTGCCCTGGATAGAGCCATAGCATCACGGAACACAGCAGTCATAGTTTGTTTCCTCAGGAAAGGGGCTAAACTAGGTAAGGTTTTTGCTGGTTTTTATGTTGAAGATATAATACATTGAAATGACATGGCTCAGCGGTAGAGCGCTGGACTGCTAACCCAAAAGTCTCAAGTTCGAATCCGGGTTCAAGTCAGTAGAATGTCCCAGATTCCACCCAGCTCTGATGGGTACCTAATTCAAAATACAATACCATTAGATATGTATTAGTGGGCTGGATGTTTGATATAGTGTGTGAGAAATATGTGGTATGTGACTGAATTTAATCAAGTAATTATTTAACTTATCTACTGCCTATCACATTTGATATTTGTACAACTTCAGGTCCTGACACATGGGCAATGGCAGCAGGAAAAACTGATGTGCTACTTCTCTTGTTGAATAAATTGATGGAAGATGGTAACATCCTGTACAAGGTGATGGTCTAATCCAATTCTTTCAGTAACATAAAATAATCAAGAATTTTCAATTTTCTTGATCTTTATGAACTTTTTTTTTCAATTGTGGATTATATTTATGTTTGACAGAAAAACAGAATAAAAGAAGCATCACAGAGATATCAATACGCCTTGAAAAAATTCCCAAAAGAAAATAGTCCTGAGGAAGCCCAGACGTTTAGAGAATTGAGGTTGAACTTTCTTCTCAATCTTTCAAGGTGTAAGCGTAAGATGAATGTAAGTATTATGTTGTTCAATGTGTAATTATAAGAAAAATACAATTCAGCATTAAGTTGTAAACATTATATAAATGTGTTATATTGCTCAAGGTGCAAGTGTAAGTATTATATTAAGTATAAAATAGTTCTTGAAATTTGTGTGGCTAAAATGAAAAATTTCAGATTCGAAGGATAATAATTGTATTCAATGTGTCTTTTCATGAATAGGGTTGTGGTTTCATGACAATAAATGTCAAAGTATTTTTTAAATTGTATTACTTTAACTAAGTGATCTACACATTAACAGTAGGCTAAGTGATGTCGAGCCTTTAGTGCTTATTAGTAAATGAACTGTACAATAAACTGTAAACAATTAATGTATTATTTGCACATAACACAAATTGTTTGAATTTATCCTTCAGGACTTACAATCTGCGATAGACTTAGCTACCAAAGCTCTGGAGATCAGACCCAAATGTTTTGAAGCTTTTTACGCCAGAGCTCGAGCTAAGAGAGATGACAAGTATGTAACTCTTCTAAAGTTTTGAATAGTTTAGGTTCTATTTTTATGACACTGTATTTGTGTTGAGCAAAATATTGTTTATAAGTTTACAGCCATATAAAATATTCTAGATGTGTTTTTATACCATGTTTCTCATTGGTAGTTGAGGGTTAACATTGTTAGCATAAATACAATGATGAAAAGCCCAAACTAGATAATAAGCATCTAAAAAAAACACACCTTTTAAAATAAGTCAATGTATTACCACATATGATATACTGGCATAAATACTATCATGAGAGGAGTGGGGTGGGTGAATGATCCCCATGTATGCCAAGGTCATTAAAACAGAGTAACTCTACTTTATCTGCACAATGTGTCTTGGACACAAACAGTAAAAGATGGTGAAGGCTACTTACACTTCTGTTCAAAAACCATATCAGATATTTATAACTACTAACCTAATCTTTAAGCTAAGCTGAATAAGTAAACATTGTAGGCTACATCAGAGTTTGAACACAATTTTATTCTTCTGTTTGTCTTGTTCATCAACAGGCAGTTCTCATCCGCTCAGCAAGACATTCTAGAAGCGCTGAGGCTGGCGCCTAAAAACAGGGAGCTCCAGAGACTCTTGAGCCGTGTCAAGGAGGAATGCAAGGAACAGATGGCTCGCTATGAAAGCGGCATGAACACAGGGGCCGGTGTGGATATGGATAGGATATCCGAAGATGAAGATTCGCTGGCGATAGACCACCGGATAACTGATGAGACACCATTGTGACATGAGGCAAGGGGAAGGTGGGGCGGGGACAAGGTTTAAAAACAAACCAGCTATATGCCTAGGTTATTACTAATTAATTTGTTTCTCTAGTTTGTTATGGCTAATTAATAAAATGTGCATATTAAGATCTGATTTTACTCACTAGTAAAATAATGCTGGAATGAAACTCACTTATTAACAAAATAACATTATAGTAGTAATATCATTTCATACATTTATTTATTATTTTAATAAATAATTATTTTTTGGCTTTTAAACATTGACTTTTAAAATATTTTTTTTTAATTCTGAAAAGCATTCGTCGCAATTGTTAACAGCACCTTACATCGCCTCCTTTCCCTCATTTTGTTGCTACAAATGTTTCATATTACATTTTTACTTGAATTTATGTATAATAAGTAAATTCAGGTAACAGCTTCACTGTATCATAGCTAAAGTAGTTCAAAGAAAAGTTGGTGTTTTTTTTTGTTACCTACACTAAGGGAAGTCACTCAACATTCCCTGGTGTTTTTCTAATACTTATTTTATTCAACTTGTTTCAGCTTGCATTTTTTGTTGGTTTTCTTAATGCACATTTTGCACAATCTTTGTAATTTTTATAACACAGTTTTTGTTATGCATAGTTTTTTTTTTTTTTATTTTGTAAGAAGGAACAATAGTGTAATTAAACCAAGTGTGACTTGTCTTACAGTTAATTTAATAACAAGATCAAATAAATTTTAAATCATTAGTAAGGTATTCCGTCTCTTCTCCATAATTCATTTCACTATAGTAAAAATGTTTCATTTATTTTTTTAATTAAAATTTATATATGTAACTTGTCAATAGAATTTTTGATTGATACTAACAGAATGAGTTTCTTAAAGAACCTCATTCACTGCATAGAAATCTTTTTGTGAAAATAAATAGTTACGCAATGTCAAGAGTTGAGATAAGTGATAATGTGGTTTAATATTTACATCCTGTAGAACTATATTCTATTTCACCAGATAACAAATATATATATTTTAACAATTAACTGACAGTTTTAAAAAGTGAATAGTCTATGTATTATTCCGTATTATTTTAATGTTGAGTTTTAAAACAGAGACGTGATAAACCATTTGTGTTAATAAAAAACGATTTTGTGCCTGTAAAAGTTTTGTATTTATAAATATGTGTATATTATGTGTAAGCATATATGTAAGCACATATGTAGAATGATACACATAACTGCTGATGTTTGATTTTTAGTTGTGCCATTACATGGCTAAGATCTAAAATAAATTTGTTTTTTCCATAATTCCAAATATATAAACAGATTGTATGTATAGCATGAAAAAAATTCTTGTACAATATTGGATTGATCCATGTGGTGCTACACTTCATGAATAATTTAATTTATATTTTTAAAAATGTATTCTGATTTCTGTTTAATTAAATACTTGGGTGGCTTTTCTGTGGCTAATGCTAATTCTGAGTTCTGGCATATACCATAAATCTGAAGAAAACTTAGCGTTATCCTGCTCTTTTAATAAAAAAAAACATTTCATTAGCCTACATAAATCTACAAATATCATAACTGCAAGTATTTTAGCAAATTTAGTTGTTTTTTTAAAGTAACTAAATGTAAGAATAACCATTTAGAAAGGTGTATGTAAAAATACTTCATAGAATTATATTTAATTTTTATTTATATCTGCAAAGAAATTGTATCCAGATGGAGTAGTGTATGTACAGTTTTTGTCTATGCTTATGTTAGCAGTTACCAAACAATGAGTTGTTTGATTTGTAGTTTTTTTTTATTATTATTCGTTATTATTTGTTAAGATGCAATTTTTTAAAGAAATGCATTTTAATTGTAATTGTTTTTTTCTAATGATGTGGGCATGAATGTGTGATAAAAAGTGATTCACTGCTTGCGTCTAAACTCTCTCAAGCATTAGAATAACCACAGACTTGTGAAGAGAGTAAAGTTCTGCTTTTGGGTCTAGTTGAGCCGTTGATGGGTCAAATGAATGTGTGAGGCAGTGTGGAGCTATCAGGCTCAGCACTTTTTGAAAATCAGCTCCAACTGAATAATGCTTGGAATGTTATGTGATTATCCCTATAAAAATATATTTATTAAAAATCTGAATGGGAAGTTTTTGAAATTATTTTTTCATTTTTACCCTTTGATAACAATGTTCTTTTTAGTTTTTGGTGTCAAATCATTAGTCTAAAAAACAATTAAGAAATAACACTCAGAAAACATTCTAGAACATATTTAATTGACCACCACCTACATTCCCACTAATTCCAAAAATTTCTGCATTATAGAAAAAATATAAAAATGGAATGTGTTTTCTGCTTTCTCATCAAAGAATTACTACTGCATAACAGGATTTTGTGTATTAAAAAGTGGTAGAACTTTCATATTATTAGGTAATTGATGTAAGGAATACTTACAAAAAATATTTCTAATTCCCTCCATAACTACACATAACATTTACATATCACCCAGGTGTATCAACATATACTTTTTCAACATACAACATGTCATTTTCATTTGTAAAATTTGGTGTCAAGTTATAACATATACATGCATTTAATATACTGTAGTGCACAAAGATAATTTGGTTTACTACCAGTGCCCACTTAAAGGCAGCCTCACTACACCAAGGAGGGTGTAGGGTAGGAGTAATAATCATGAGTGTGTAGCAAAATTAATCAACTGCCCGAGGTAACCTGCTGGGCCAACTTAAAAGGGAGGAAACATTTTGTAAGAAACTTCCCAAATCAATAATGTCCATAAATCTTTTTACATGAGTATGGACAAAGGACCAAACATAAAAAAAAAAGAATTAAATAATACTTTGGCCAACAAGTTAAACCTGTCAATCTGGCAACTTTAGGCAACACATTTTGTTTTCTATCAACAAGAATCTGCTAAGCTAAGATGGACAGATTAATAATTATGAAAAAGAACAGTTTCATAAAAATTATAAAACATTCAGTTTCTGGCAAGTTGTGAAACATTTTCATGTTTGCGATACATCTCCTTTAAAAAAAAAAATTCAGAGTTATCACCTTTACACCTCTGCTTTGAATGGACAGCCTATTTCTTTAGGAAAAATTGAAAAATAATCAATCTGACTTATCCCACTTTTGTATTTACAATACAAATTTTCTATTACATTTTTTAATTAATTGCAAAGATAATATTTTGATAAACATAATTTTTTTTAAAAACATTTTTAAATGTACTATCAAAAATAAAACATGAGCTAACTTTAATTAATAAATATTTATTTACAAATATATGTACAGAACCAACAGTAGTGTGACAGATTCACAATGTTATGATATCATGAATCACTAAATAGAACAATTTATTTAAAACAATTAAAGCAGGAGGTTCAATAATTTGTCGAAAAATTTCATCAAAGTATTTGTATACAAGACCCACAGAAATTCACTTTTTTTTGTCATAAATAATTAACAGCGACTACATTTACATCCAATACTGGTGGATGAATCAAATACATCAGGACAAAAAGTAAGTAAACAAAATCTAGACCGGTTGGACAACAATATTTGGTAATGATGATAAGTTTCTGCAAACTTTTATTTCAAGATCTATGAGTGGAGAATGTATTGTTTTTTTTTACAAGTATTATTTGAAATAGTTTGTATGTTGCTATTCAGATCTATTGACATACTCTCATAGGGACATATCTGTGGCCATACAATGATTAGTATTGCCCACTGCTGTCCAGCAATACTAACTACCATAACAGTTTAATATCTCAACACATTGTACCAAAGGTTTTAAAAATAAGAAATACAACCTATTAGTTATATCCTGAGTTGATAACAATTACGGCTGAATATTAATTATTAAAAATTTAAATATGAGAATTTTAATTGATTACACAATTAACCAAAAATATGTTAATTGTTTCTAATATATCAGAAATAGCAATTAAATTCAGTTGTTGGGTGTTATACTTTTGGCAAGAAAATGCTTCAAACATGTGCATTGGAAGAGCATGTAGCATTGGAAGATTTGATTATAGGAACTTAGTTTAACAGACTGGTGATGGCCATTATTTTAAACTTCACTGATAGCTACAATACATATTTAAGTCAATTGTGATTGGAATTTAAACCAAGTTAATGTAAGGGATAAATACACGCCAATAAGACATACACTTTAATGAAGGGTGGCAAACAGAGAACTCAGTTTTAAATGATCAAAAAATTGAATCATTGGTTACATTTTGCAAGTGATTCTAGGATCAGCCAGTTCTGTTTTCTAAGGAAAATGTAACAAAGTATTGACACATTCAAACAATAATTGAAAACTTTGGTATAGAAAGTATTGAAATACAATTGTCAGTCAATATAAAACTGTGCTGTAGCCTACCTACAGACCTAGCAAAATTTGATGAGCTTCAGGAAGAAGTAAACAAAAAAAAAAAGCTTGGCTTTCCAATGAGGATTAGTTTTGAATACTGAACAGGGTCTTTGGTGAAATGCAGCATTGCTAACCCTAAAATCTGCTTTTCATGTTTGCGTTACCCAAAAACATTTTGTACCTCTCTAAAAATTTCACCAAATTTATTTAAAATATTTGTAATCATCAACAGGTATGAATGAATGAAGCAATGTCTCACATGGCAATAAATTTTAGTCAATCAAATTGTGACCAATCAAGGTAATCTGGTAATACTGTAAGAGATTTGGTTAAAACAGGGCTGGCTACTATAATAACTAGCAGAGACTGTTTAACCTTGAGTTAAATAAATAAAAACACTTATAAACATAATGTATTTGCTTCAAGCAAAAGAAAATCACAAAAGGATTCAAATTTTTAGCCAACAAATATTTCTATAATAAAAAAAAATCACCTGTGTGTGAGTATTTCAAATATTTTGAATTTAAAAAAATTAAATGTTGAGCATGGATCTGTGGGGAAAAAAATCTAATAATTAAAATTTGATTAAATTAATATTTCTGTGAGGTAAGTCTTTAAGTTGATACTGGCAAAGCTGATAGCTACAGTATTATATAATCAAACTTTCTTAATGTAAACACAATATTTCAAATATCATTTTTTAGCCATAGATGAGTTTAAACATGTCACACAAAATAAACCAACTGCCCAATATTATTCACAGAAAGGCAGTTCAAACAACAAATCTAGACTAGTTTAAAGAGCTGAGTAGCAGCCATAGTAGTTGGTGTCTGAACTCAGTTGGAACAATATAAACAGCATAAATAGATTTTCATCAAAAAATCTCAACAAATCAGACTATTTACAGAACTGTAATATAATTAGAATGTAAGTGATGTAACTCATTTTCATTGTGCAGATAGTTGGCCTTTTGACCTCTGACATGAGGTGATGGTAAAAAAATGTGCATGTGACATCTGAATATTTGAGACTGATGGAAAATATATAACAGCTGATTCATAACCACAACTCTAATGCTCTGACTAAACAATGGCTTTCAATGATTAAAATTAGTCTGCAAGTGTTAACCATTTTCCACCAGTAAAACATTTGTGAAACTACACTAGCAAGTTGAGAATAATGTTATAATTACAGATGAGCTGAAAGATGACCTCTATCCAACACACAGCTCAGAGAAACCCAACCAAATCATTTCAACCCAACCCTGACTCAATTCATCAGACACAAGTCATTCTAAGTTTTAAAATGTTCTGGCTCATAAAAAATCCTGACAAATCCCAGCTGGTCAAAATTTAGGAAAATCCTAAAAAATCCCAGCTCATCAAAACTTAGGAAATCCTAACAAACCCTACTGATCACAACTCAGGAAACCCTAACAAACCCTACTGACCACAACTCAGGAAACCCTAACAAACCCTACTGACCACAACTCAGGAAACCCTAACAAACCCTACTGACCATAACTCAGGAAACCCTAACAAACCCTACTGACCACAACTCAGGAAACCCTAACAAACCCTACTGACCACAACTCAGGAAACCCTAACAAACCCTAGCTCGTAACATGCAGTGCGTTCAATCATGGAAAACTTGGATAAGTATCGGCAGGCTTGGTTGGCGTGGTGGTGAAATATTCTAAACTTTTGTCTGTACAATTCAGCCATTATCTCCAGCATGTGAATATAGTGTTCTCTAGATGGTTCTTTGTCTGTCTGTAAAGGGAAATACAAAAAAATTGTTTCAGATATGGTTACTTGTTTATATTAAAGTTGGAGAAAGACAAGTTCAAGTTTTTGAAAAAACCTATCTAGACTTATTTTTAGGCTAGAACTCAAATTAAAAATTCTAGAAATATATCAAAGAATGACTCATAGTCAAGCTGTACAAGAAAATATAAAAATTCTACCCCCATATGGACAGTAAACAGTTTATTAGATTATATGCAAAGAGGTTGTCAATAAATGACGGAATACACATAGAAGGAGGGGGGTCTTTAATTTTTGTGACAATGTGTGATGAGGGGGAAAGTCAGATTCAGATTGTGTGACATTATACTTGTCATTTTAAAAAAGTCATGTTAGAAACTGAATTTTAGCTGTTATTTAGCCTTTTTTAAAACTGTTTTTGTAAATTGTAATAGAAATTGACTAATATACTCTATGTTAACAGAATTCAGTCAATATTTTAGAAGATTTTAAAAACAAATTAAACAGTAATTTTGATGGGGTTTGGAGGCTGAGGTATGAAATCATTTTAGGTGGGGGTCTTGCTTATTATGATGATGTGTGATGAAGGGGATGGGGGGAAGGTAAGAATTGTTTTTAAAAAGTGTGACGTCATTTATGGATGACCCCTAAGAGATGCACAAATTATAATAAATATTTCACCAGTTAAGAAAACTTTATAAGTATACTTGTCAAGCTAAATTTAATATCTGATTTACACACATTTACAAATTAGTTTTAAATCAAGTTTAAGTGTAAACTTATCCAAATTGAATTTTTAAAATCTAATTTTAAATTGGCAATTTCTGAATTTAATACCCTAACAGTTTAATTTCATGTTATTCCAATATCACTGGATGTTTAAAATGTTTCACGCCTAGATTAAACAGTACTTTAAGTTTGATATATCTTGTGCCCTGATTTAACATCACAATAACATTGAGACATTCCAGATTAGATATCGAAGTCAATGGCCTTTATGGTACATAACAAGTTGACATGTAATACTTAATTGTGTTGGAGGAAATCCCTTCAAACACTAGAATTAAGTACGAAGAAGAAGAACAGAAAGAAGTTATCCTTTAAAGTGAAATATTCCCATATGTCAGTAAAGAAATATGTACCTGCTGTGGGTTATAGACAGAACAACCTTCACATTGGTGCACTTCAACGAGCAGCTGATTGACAGTCTTGAGTTGATCAGAGGTCAAGAGGTCAGGCAAAACTTCCCACTCATACTCTTCTATATCCAATTTTACAATGGCGATGTTTGTCTGTTCAAAACAAAATTACATAAGTCATGATTGAACAAAAAGTAACATAGAGAGTTGAATCATACTATTAAGCAAAAAAAAAATAATAATAATATAGAAACATTTTTGCTACTATTATTAAATTATAGCAACAATGTAAAGATAGTCTAAAGTAGGTTTCGATTGCTCTGTATATGGCATATAGTTTACCAATATTTTTAGGCATGTAAGGGGTTACATATTATTCTGGACAAGTGGCAAAATCAGGAATGGTCTTTGTGGGGGGGGGGGGGGGGGGGAGAGAAGGGGAGATCCATAATTCTACTTTCCGCCTCCCCTAAGTCACTAAATGAATGAACTGCCTCCTGCTTTTCTCCTATTTAATCTTCCTTCTACCAAAAAGTAAATCCTATCGTGAGGCGGATCTAAGCCAGCTCCTCCAGAATATCAAATTTATGCCCAACCCCAAACTGATTTTTAAAAAAAATCTAAGCAACTTTGGTTATATACACAGAAACAATCACCTTTGAATGCTTTAAACTTGCTCGTATGCTTTCAAACTTAGCCATTGGCCAGCCATTGGCTAAAGTCCTGTCAGAATCAGCCAATCCCAGATGGTAGAAAAAAGCCTTATCTCCCCTTTTGTTGGACTCTATCTTCATGCTGTAAACAATCAATATGTATCTCATTAACTTTTTTTGGTTGCATTGATTAACAATTACACTGATAAACATTACATAACAAGTTATATAAATATCACTTCCCCTGACCAGACTGTTCAAGAACCAGTTGTTTTTTTTAACTTGTTCACAAAAAGGCTTTAGAGTTCTGTTTTAACATTTCTATATTAAGAACTTGGTGAAATGGAACTGATTGATAATGGTAAAGGTTAAGGCCATGAATTTCTGTGCATGATGCCTTGGTTGATTTAGAACAATACATTGTATAACTGTAAAATCTGATTTCTGGCAAAGCGATATATATATATATATATATATATATATATATATCGCTTTGCCAGAAATCAGATTTTACAGTATTACAACACAGAGCAAAGAACTCTTCGATTATCTGTATCTGTAGACTTGACAGAGTGTGGGTGGTGTGTTGAGCTTTAATTAATTAATGGGCATCCAATCAAGACTACCAGGTGATATCTGCAGCATCTAAGCTGTGAATCTAAAGCTAGTCAATCATCAAATTTTGAATCACACCCTTTATGTATAAATAGAAACTGGATTCTAAGTTTGGTATCAATTCAATGTTTTAAGATTCTAAAAACTCTAAAAACATCAGAATAATATCCTTACACAAAGAAGGCAATGAAAAACAATGCATATAACCTCTAACATACAGACAAACATGACAACAAATAAGCAATACCAAGCAGTGAAGAGCTTGTAAACTTACCTGGGATCAAATGAATGGACCATACAACCAAATTTACTGATAGCTGCATCATCAAAGCTGAAGTCATTGTCTACCCTAGGAAAGAAATAACACAACATTTATTTCATACAACCAAATTTACTGATAGCTGCATCATCAAAGCTGAAGTCATTGTCTACCCTAGGAAAGAAATAACACAACATTTATTTCATACAACCAAATTTACTGATAGCTGCATCATCAAAGCTGAAGTCATTGTCCACCCTAGGAGAGAAATAACACAACATTTATTTCATACAACCAAATTTACTGATAGCTGCATCATCAAAGCTGAAGTCATTGTCCACCCTAGGAGAGAAATAACACAACATTTATTTCATACAACCAAATTTACTGATAGCTGCATCATCAAAGCTGAAGTCATTGTCCACCCTAGGAGAGAAATAACACAACATTTATTTTTCACAGTTTTTAAAAGATAAAATTCTAAAATAACATGCTTATGTAAAACATATGTATATGATGACCACAGTTCTATGTAAACCTGACATATAATAAGAATTGTACAACTTCAACTAAAAGTAACCAATGATTGGCAACAGCAATTACAGTAAGTTTTAAAGATGTAACTTAACACCTAAATCTAATTTAGGTTTTTTACTGTCAGGGATTCTAAATTTCAATGAAATGCGATGTTAATATTAATTGCGTTACATTTTTTAAAAGTCACTCTTCAAAAGTTATGGGGGAAATCATTAACTTCCCTTTATCATTACAGAAGTAGGCCTATACCAAAAACTATTGACACCTTTTATGGGTAACACTTTTAATGAGTCACTGAGTCACACCTTTTATGTGTTACATCTGTAATGAGACACACCTTTAATGAGGCACACCTTTAATGAGACACACCTTTAATGAGACACACCTTTAATGAGTAACACATTTAATGAGTAACACATTTAGTGATACACAGCTTTAATAAGACACACTTTTAAGGGGATATGCGCGGAAAAAAATCACAAAATTTCTTGTTTTTCGTCATGGTCGGTTTCTTGCACTTTTGGATACTTTGTCCATTTTTGTATAAAGAAAATAATAACTTTAAAGAGGAAAAAATATTTTATGTGTTTGAATTACGATTTTTATGACCCTATTAATTAAAAAATAATCAATTTTTCCCAATCTTACAAGCTCTCTATGAAAAGTTTTATATCCGTCATTATATTGTACTTGACCTCATTGGAAAGTTGGATTTCTCATGTATCTAATAAACTTAATTTCCTACATCTCGGAAACACCCAAAGCTTACAATCGGCTTTGCAGTTTACACAGATATGGTACGTTCCTGACCTAGTTTTCGTTACTTTTGGCTGTTTTTCTCAGTTCGCATGTTTTTAACACTAAAAAGACTACTAATTTTTTTTATTTATTAAACAATGCCAACCATATTTTCAGTAATTGTTCTTAATGCAAAAATACAACTTTTGTCACGAGGGAATTGTGATTGCTTTCATAGAAAAAAGTATTTGGTAATTAATATGCAAATTTTGAAACTTTTGAATACTAAAAAGGGTACGATTTTTTAGACCTTGTAAAATTCTTACTAGTAATTATTTCAAAAAGTCGTCGTGACAAAAGTTTTAATATATACTGAAATATAAGCAGTTTAAATTTGATTGCTATAGGTGCATAAATAAAAAAGCCTTAGTATTTTTAAAAGTACCGAAAAATTCAAAATGGCGGAGGTTTTTTGGGTTTCCATGACAACCAAAATTGTTTTCGACCCTTTTATTTGCTGTTTAATACTTACTTTTATATGCCAAATATGATAAAAGTATTCAAAAGGTTTTAGATCTTAAACTGTAAAACATAGAAAAAAACATAGCATATACCCTTAATGAGACACACCTTTAATAAGACTTACCCAAACGAGTAGACAATACAGTCAGACTTTGACAGGTAGGCGCTGTCTGCACACACGTCCCAGCCTCCGTCAGTGACACGCCCGACCCTTTCCACATTCTCACACTCCAGCTGGTTCTTGGTGACATAGCTGAAAGTTCAAACAGACTCTACTCATTTTATGTAGCCAAGACACAGTTAATCCTTTTTTGTACCAAATCATACAAAATAAATTCTGTAGAATACATGTTAAGTAAAAGTAGATTCCTCTAGATGTAGTGATCCATTGGGCAGACGAAGTAGGGTTCATATGTTTCTTGATGATAGCATATGAAGGAATAATGTGGTCAGCACTATGCCCAGCCACCTTTACTTTCACTAACAAAAGACAGGTGACCAGGATGGACATCCATCAGAGTTGGGTAGATTTAGGGACGTTACACTGACTTGAACCTGAGACTTTAGTTCACACCATCCAGTAGAATAAATGTAAGCATATTGGGATATTTTGTTATGCTCTGACCCTTAAAGTTCAAGGTTGTAGTAGAAACACTACTTCATCTACCTTATTGACCAAAACATTTGTAAAGGGTTTATTTACTTTTAGTTAAAGGCACTAAAGTCTATCATAAAGGGAGATACAAACACACAATGTTAAAAATTAAATTGCATGTTCTCATCCTTGACCACCATGTTATTTAGAGAAGAGAGTAGTTAGTGGTTGCCATTGTGACAGTTACTGGTGTCCTATCATCAGCTAGTTAAGTTCCCATTTGTTTGATGTAATGATAAATGTGCATGTACATTTGAATAGCCCAAATGGTACTCAAGTCAAGTGGGTCAAGTTCCTCAGCAAACCTGACGGTCCATGTGGCAAGTGAAGTAGAGTTCACCTGTTTGTGTGACCTCGCATAAGAAGGGATAGTGTGGTCAGCAGTATTCCTAGCTGTCTTTACTAGACACATCTACACCACCACTCACCAATGTTGTACTAGCCACATCTACACCATCACCCACCAATGTTGTACTAGCCACATCTACACCACCACCCACCAATGTACTAGCCACATCTACACCACCACCCACCAATGTACTAGCCACATCTACACCACCACCCACCAATGTACTAGCCACATCTACACCACCACCCACCTATGTACTAGCCACATCTACACCACCACCCACCAATGTTGTACTAGCCACATCTACACCACCACCCACCAATGTTGTACTAGCCACATCTACACCACCACCCACCAATGTTGTACTAGCCACATCTACACCACCACCCACTATTGTTATACTAGCCACATCTACACCACCACCCACCAATGTTGAACTAGCCACATCTACACCACCACCCACCAATGTACTAGCCACATCTACACCACCACTCACCAATGTACTAGCCACATCTACACCACCACCCACCAATGTTGTACTAGCCACATCTACACCATCACCCACCAATGTACTAGCCACATCTACACCACCACCCACCAATTTACTAGCCACATCTACACCACCACTCACCAATGTACTAGCCACATCTACACCACCACCCACCAATGTTGTACTAGCCACATCTACACCCCCACCCACCAATGTTGTACTAGCCACATCTACACCACCACCCACCAATGTACTAGCCACATCTACACCACCACCCACCAATGTACTAGCCACATCTACACCACCACCCACCAATGTACTAGCCACATCTACACCACCACCCACCTATGTACTAGCCACATCTACACCACCACCCACCAATGTTGTACTAGCCACATCTACACCACCACCCACCAATGTTGTACTAGCCACATCTACACCACCACCCACCAATGTTGTACTAGCCACATCTACACCACCACCCACTATTGTTATACTAGCCACATCTACACCACCACCCACCAATGTTGAACTAGCCACATCTACACCACCACCCACCAATGTACTAGCCACATCTACACCACCACTCACCAATGTACTAGCCACATCTACACCACCACCCACCAATGTTGTACTAGCCACATCTACACCATCACCCACCAATGTACTAGCCACATCTACACCACCACCCACCAATGTACTAGCCACATCTACACCACCACCCACCTATGTACTAGCCACATCTACACCACCACCCACCAATGTTGTACTAGCCACATCTACACCACCACCCACCAATGTTGTACTAGCCACATCTACACCACCACCCACCAATGTTGTACTAGCCACATCTACACCACCACCCACTATTGTTATACTAGCCACATCTACACCACCACCCACCAATGTTGAACTAGCCACATCTACACCACCACCCACCAATGTACTAGCCACATCTACACCACCACTCACCAATGTACTAGCCACATCTACACCACCACCCACCAATGTTGTACTAGCCACATCTACACCATCACCCACCAATGTACTAGCCACATCTACACCACCACCCACCAATTTACTAGCCACATCTACACCACCACTCACCAATGTACTAGCCACATCTACACCACCACCCACCAATGTTGTACTAGCCACATCTACACCCCCACCCACCAATGTTGTACTAGCCACATCTACACCACCACCCACCAATGTACTAGCCACATCTACACCACCACCCACCAATGTACTAGCCACATCTACACCACCACCCACCAATGTACTAGCCACATCTACACCACCACCCACCTATGTACTAGCCACATCTACACCACCACCCACCAATGTTGTACTAGCCACATCTACACCACCACCCACCAATGTTGTACTAGCCACATCTACACCACCACCCACCAATGTTGTACTAGCCACATCTACACCACCACCCACTATTGTTATACTAGCCACATCTACACCACCACCCACCAATGTTGAACTAGCCACATCTACACCACCACCCACCAATGTACTAGCCACATCTACACCACCACTCACCAATGTACTAGCCACATCTACACCATCACCCACCAATGTTGTACTAGCCACATCTACACCATCACCCACCAATGTACTAGCCACATCTACACCACCACCCACCAATGTTGTACTAGCCACATCTACACCACCACCCACCAATGTTGTACTAGCCATATCTACACCACCACCCACCAATGTACTAGCCACATCTACACCACCACCCACCAATGTTGTACTAGCCACATCTACACCACCACCGACCAATGTTGTACTAGCCACTTCTACACCACCACCCACCAATGTACTAGCCACATCTACACTACCACTCACCAATGTACTAGCCACATCTACACCACCACTCACCAATGTACTAGCCACATCTACACCACCACCCACCAATGTACTAGCCACATCTACACCACAACCCACCAATGTACTAGCCACATCTACACCACCACCCACCAATGTTGTACTAGCCACATCTACACCACCACCGACCAATGTTGTACTAGCCACATCTACACCACCACCCACCAATGTACTAGCCACATCTACACTACCACTCACCAATGTACTAGCCACATCTACACCACCACTCACCAATGTACTAGCCACATCTACACCACCACCCACCAATGTACTAGCCACATCTACACCACCACCCACCAATGTACTAGCCACATCTACACCATCACCCACCAATGTTGTACTAGCCACATCTACACCACCACCCACCAATGTACTAGCCACATCTACACCATCACCCACCAATGTTGTACTAGCCACATCTACACCACCACCCACCAATGTACTAGCCACATCTACACCACCACCCACCAATGTACTAGCCACATCTACACCACCACCCACCAATGTTGTACTAGCCACATCTACACCACCACTCACCAATGTACTAGCCACATCTACACCACCACCCACCAATGTACTAGCCACATCTACACCACCACCCACCAATGTACTAGCCACATCTACACCATCACCCACCAATGTACTAGCCACATCTACACCACCACCCACCAATGTACTAGCCACATCTACACCACCACTCACCAATGTACTAGCCACATCTACACTACCACCCACCAATGTACTAGCCACATCTACACCACCACCCACCAATGTTGTACTAGCCACATCTACACCACCACCCACCAATGTTGTACTAGCCACATCTACACCACCACCCACCAATGTACTAGCCACATCTACACCACCACCCACCAATGTACTAGCCACATCTACACTACCACCCACCAGTATAGTAGTCACATGTACAAAACTACCCACCAATGTATTACACCACCACATAATCATATACACAACAATCCACCAATGTTTTACATTACCACACATATTCAATCAGCCATCAATCTATTTTTATGTCTCAGAAGTATCTTAGCCACACACCAAGAAACACAACTGTGAACACTTAAGCATAACAATCTTCAATCACTTGTACTGAATTGATTTATAAAGGAATTCAAACATTCATTGACTTCAAATGCGCCAGCAGTGTCAACCCAACCCTAAACTAAGTTGGTAATTTTTCTAGATGTAGCAATTCTGTCAAGGATATACTTTGCTCTAACAAAATATTGTCTTGATATTACATGCCACCAAACTCTACAAGTAATGTAGGAATACAAACAAGAAGAATGGTCTACAGTCCAGTTTTTATTTACATCCTACTCAAGTTTCAAGCAGATAAGAAAAAACACTTGTGTGAACTAATGCAGTGTATATCCAGCTTCATAATTAGTGCGTTAATTAAGGTAGAAGTGAGTGAGGCTGTAATTAATTAACCATTAGAGCTAGGGCATCTATCATTAGTACAGAAACGTGACCCTATGAAAAACATACCTCCAGGGTTAATGATTGTGACAAAGTTGGGTGCAGTGAACAGCCCAAGGGAAGTAACTAACCAAAAGTCAAGGGAAGTAGCTAACCAAAAGTCAAGGGAAGTAACTAACCAAAAGTCAAGGGAAGTAACTAACCAAAAGTCAAGGAAGTAACTAACCAAAAGTCAAGGGAAGTAACTAACCAAAAGTAAAGGGAAGTAACTAACCAAAGTAAAAGGGAAGTAACTAACCAAAAGTCAAAGGGGAGTAACTAACCAAAGTAAAGGGAAGTAACTAACCAAAAGTAACAATCCACCACAAGTTAAAGGGAGTAACTAATCAAGTAGCAAAGCTCATCGCAAATTGAAGGGGAGTAATCACCCCAAGTAAAGAGGAGTTACAAAGCACAAGAATTAGGAAGTCAAGGGAATTAACTAAACCAAAAAGTCAAGCAGTGTAGCAAATCTACACTAAAGTAACCCAACAAGAATATTTTCTATTCTAACACTTCAGCACACATTTAAAAAAAAAAAAACAGCTGTGAATGACAAGTGAAATCAATACCCTACTTGGGGGGCAATTTCTTTTTCAGTATCTGAATCACTCCATGAGTGGCATTAACTGTGGTCTTGTGGTTCAGGGGGGGGGGAGAATTTAGTGTATGGAAACTTCAACACTGGGCCTTAGCTCAATTAAATTCTTTTTTAACAGGAGGCACTGACTTAATTAATCCAACAAGGTCAGCATGACCTAGCTCACACAAAAATGAAAACAGTGATAATTTAACTACATATTCACAATTGCAGATATGTTTATGTTACTGTTAGAAGTATAGTAAAAAAAAAATTTGAGTTTATGATTGCTGCTCAGTCATTGACTGACACTGTTTTCACAGGTAAAGTAGAGTTTGGCTTTTACATTTGGTTTAATAGTAAAGCATTACCCTGCTTTAAAAAGAGGGTATTAATGTATTAGGGTGAAGTTATTTACAAGCATAGTGTTAGCTTGCAATAGAAGCTACAAGCATAGAGTAGCCATGTGGCTGGGGGTAGCTACAAGCATAGAGTAGCCCTGTGACTGGGGGTAGCTACAAGCATAGAGTAGCCCTGTGACTGGGGGTAGCTACAAGCATAGAGTAGCCCTGTGACTGGGGGTAGCTACAAGCATAGAGTAGCCCTGTGACTGGGGGTAGCTACAAGCATAGAGTAGCCCTGTGACTGGGGGTAGCTACAAGCATAGAGTAGCCCTGTGTTAGTCTGAGGGTAGCTACAAGCATAGAGTAACCCTGTGGCTGGGGGTAGCTACAAGCATAGAGTAGCCCTGTGACTGGGGGTAGCTACAAGCATAGAGTAGCCCTGTGGCTGGGGGTAGCTACAAGCATAGAGTAGCCCTGTGGCTGGGGGTAGCTACAAGCATAGAGTAGCCCTGTGACTGGGGGTAGCTACAAGCATAGAGTAGCCCTGTGACTGGGGGTAGCTACAAGCATAGAGTAGCCTTGTGTTAGTCTGAGGGTAGCTACAAGCATAGAGTAGCCCTGTGGCTGGGGGTAGCTACAAGCATAGAGTAGCCATGTGGCTGGGGGTAGCTACAAGCATAGAGTAGCCTTGTGTTAGTCTGAGGGTAGCTACAAGCATAGAGTAGCCCTGTGGCTGGGGGTAGCTACAAGCATAGAGTAGCCCTGTGACTGGGGGTAGCTACAAGCATAGAGTAGCCTTGTGTTAGTCTGAGGGTAGCTACAAGCATAGAGTAGCCCTGTGGCTGGGGGTAGCTACAAGCATAGAGTAGCCATGTGGCTGGGGGTAGCTACAAGCATAGAGTAGCCCTGTGACTGGGGGTAGCTACAAGCATAGAGTAGCCCTGTGGCTGGGGGTAGCTACAAGCATAGAGTAGCCCTGTGGCTGGGGGTAGCTACAAGCATAGAGTAGCCCTGTGGCTGGGGGTAGCTACAAGCATAGAGTAGCCCTGTGTTAGTCTGAGGGTAGCTACAAGCATAGAGTAGCTCATATGTGACAGCAGACAACAACCTCACCTGTGATAGACAGCAGACAACAACCTCACCTGTGATAGACAGCAGACAACAACCTCACCTGTGATAGACAGCAGACAACAACCTCACCTGTGGTAGACAGCAGACAGCTCCTCCCATGACAACGCCCTTAATATGGTTTTATTCTGTATGACATCAAGTTCAGACATCAACTTCACATCCTGAAACAAGTTTGTTTGTTTTTTAAATTATTTGCATAAAGCTATAAGCCAGTTTATCAATTTTATACATTTTAAAAACTATTTTTTTTATCAATAGTAACAAATAAAAGTGTAATGAGGAAAGCTTTGATTGCCATAAAAAATAATGAATTTTAAAGACAAATTATTAACCAAATAAAGGATTCTAATGATTAGAAACTAGGCTACATTTAATTGTAAATAACCTTTCCTATCAATCAGAGATTTAGCCTGTTTACCCTTTTTATTGTTTATTTTGTTATTAAAAAAAAACATGGATAACAAAGTAACAAAGAAATGAACAAAAAGTGCACAATAAATGTGAAAAATGTACAATTAAAAGACTTGATAATTCCTTTTTAAATAAACAGGAACTTAACTGGTTATGAACTGAATGTAATGCAGAACTTAAACGTGAAATAAAACAGGACTGATGGCTGAGAACAAATTTTACCTGACAATCAATTAACAACATCGGTTCTAATTTTTACTGACCGTTAAACATTTGGTCAAATGTTTAACATACAAAAATATTAGGTCTCAGTTAATTTGCGCTGCTGACAATACAAATTTGTTAACAGGAGTCAACAGATAGTTATAGGAAATAAGTAGACTAAGCCAGAAACATTTATAGACCAGAGTCATAAACTTAATCAGTATATCAGAGAATGTGTTTTTTAATTTGCTTATGACAATCAAAACAATTTTATTTTTAAAAGACGAAAAAAATTAAAGTTTGTAAAATGCATTAGTATAACATTTTAAAATTATTATATAGGCCCTAAATGAAATTTTGGAGAGATTTTCAAATTTTCCAGTTTTTGCATAAAAATACTGTAGACTACTTCTACAAGGAAGCATAGACCCAGCACACAAAACTACTAGAGTACTTCATAGATTAAAAAGTAGTTTCCTATATCAATTGTGTGAAAATTGCCTTCTCGATTTTTTTACCACACAATAAATTATAAAACTAAAGGTAGTTCTGAAAATGTTTATTACCAACTGATTTTCAAAAAATGTCAATATTTGCAATGTGTTGACGCTTGCAATATCAAGCAGGTGAAAAGAATCAACGCTTACACAATACAACTGGCCTATAGACCCTAACTGATGTTACAACATCACACAATACAACTTGCTTATAGACCCTAACTGATGTTCACAACATGGAACAATACAACCCATGTTATCAATATACCCAGGCCTATATTTATCTTGTTTTAAACAAAAACATTAGTGGTGTGGTGTGTTGCTCTCAAATCCTGATATTCTTCTGTTTCTTTTAGACCTTACAATACACTAATAAAACTGCACTATCTTTGGCTATTCAAGTCTGCAGAAACAACAACACTAATATGATAGTAAAAAAAATGTATTACCCTAATTACCCCAGAGTCGATGATCTTGGATGAAAATGCTGAAATTAAAAAGCAATTAATTAGAACACATTTGACTTCATTACAAAAATACCGTTAACATTGGTTTTGTTTTAGGTTTGTATACATTAGCAAATACTAGCTAATGTTTCTTTAAGGTAAAGAATTCAGTCAAGCACTGAAGTCAAAGATAACCTAGAGGCTAATCATGAGTTGGATGGCATTGTGTTCTTTCTGTAGCCACATAAATCAGGGGTTCATAAGACCATCACAACTGATAATCCCATTTTAAACCAAACTCCTAGACTTGTGGTTAAAGCATAAAAGCCCTCAAACCAGAAACACTCAAGTGTTATGTTCCCCATTGATATAGTTTAAAAGGTAATTCCCTTACCTCAAAAATAAATTAACAACAATAATTCTAAATCTGTTTATCACACTGAATCAAACATAACTAATTTATTTAAAAGAAATATTTAAGCAAAATGTATTCCTGTATACATATTTTGGTTTTGTATGACATGATAAAGCCCATAGTTTGAATAAAGATAAAATTAGAATAAACTGAAGTCAAAAGTTACCTTGGTTTGCTTTTCTTGCTTTCTCATCCAAAAAGGGGAAATTAAATTTGTCTTCAGCTGTTAGCTCAATACTTGCATATGTCTGGAATTTAAATTATTAATTATTTTATTTAATTTAATTGGACTATTTTATATATTATTACATGAACATTTTTTTTCAAAAATTGAAAACAATTATTAAATTATTCATAAATTACTTAAACTAAGTTAAACAATAGATGAATACTTGTAGTTAGAAAAATGTATGTGTAATCTAAAAAATCAACATTTTGCTAGTATCTTGGCCCTTTTTCTAGCCTTACCCTATTCTATGTTTGAACATAATAGTAATATAAATAAAAAGTCTCTACGTGATGGTAATGCCATGCAGGTATTATTATAAAGACTTAAACAATATTGAGAGTAAAAATTAATATTAAGTCACCAACTGTTGGAGACCATTTTAGATATCACATAACACCATGATTGCCTAGCTAACTATACAATCTACAATTAACTAGTCAGCTGCCTATACAATCTACAATTATCTAGTGAGTATCACCATGATTGCCTAGCTAACTATACAATCTACAATTATCTAGTGATGTATCACCATGATTGCCTAGCTAACTATACAATCTACAATTATCTAGTGATGTATCACCATGATTGCCTAGATGCCTATACAATCTAAACTTACGTTACATTCATTATTACTGATTAAAAATATATTAGCCACATAATCAATTCAACTACAACACACTAGGATATACTTAGGATATACTTACAGAGACAGATTGCTGTGAGGAAATAAAAAGTATGGCCCAAAGGACTAAACATCCTGAACTAAGGAACAAAACATAAGCTAACAGAGCTTTCCTTCGTACACGTACTGGCATACTGCATCTACCTGAAAATTATAAAAAAACATTCAATAGATGTAAAACACATGCAAATTATTTAATAGACAAGGCCAGCTCCTCTCCTAGTAAACTGAGACAAAGAAATGACTAACACAGATTGAGAATGATACTCAGAATTAGCTTCAATAATAACAAAACTTAACCCAAACCTAGTTATCCTTACAACCATAGCAGTAGTCTTTTTGTACTTTGCAAATAGCACTATGCAATTTAATTGACTAGTATGAAAGAAGCAACAAAGACACATGTCTTGTATCATTAATTAAAACAAGCATACTGCAACACAAGCAAAATATTATTTTCTATACAGCTCCCTAATTACTTCCTTGCAAGTAATTAGTTGTACTGTAATTGTTCTCCATTAGTAAACAAAGCAGACAACCTTGTTTACGATCAGAGCTGATAAATGTAGGCGTATTTGTGTAGCGTATGTAAATATTGTTTACATTAGAACAAAGTATAATACTTTGGTATGCATTTGCTTGTGTTTAGTCATACCACCAGACTCATGTTATTAAAGACTAAGAAGGAGAATACTGAGCTATGAATATTGCATAGCTAATAAGTTCTCGTCATATACTTGATCTGCCTTTATTAGAGAATCATCAATAAATGAAATCAAACTAAGGCGTAGTCAAGAAATGTAACATAGCTTACATTTAGTGTTGTAACTAGGGAAAGTAATTATAACAGCCAGTAGCAGATTAAGAGGGAGGCTGAGAGGGCTGCAGCCAGAGGCCCCCAATTTTTAGGGGGCCCCAAATTTCCTCTAACAAATCACAGTAAATTTCATAGTGAAATTGTTTGATTTCTTTACTATAAAAACCAATGCTTTAATATTTGCATCACAAGCTTATTACCTTATTTTTTAAAACATCAAACATGGGCAAACACATCAATATAAATACCAGCTGTCATCACCTCATACCCAGAAATAAAGCCCACACTCCCTAAAATAAAACATTCTGGACCTGCATTTGCTTATGAAAAATGAGAGTTTAGGCATACTATAGACACCCCCCATCCCCCACCCCTTTAAAAAAGAAACCAGAAATTTAAATTTATTTCACCAGATCAACTAGCATGGCGGTTAACAAGTTTTTTTTTTTTTAAATAATAGGGTCTACACTCTGAATTAGCTCTTACTTGCAAGCATTTAGGCTAGCAGTATTCTAAACCGTGGCAATGAATGAAAAAATGCCTGACCATCTTTGCCCACCAGCTACATTACTAAGAAAGGTGCTTTACATATCTGTTATTAGAACTGAGGTTATAGAGTATCTAGATCTATTTACTTTGGATTAAAACTCCCTAGATGCATTATTTGAGATTTTAGTCTTTTTTGGTTGCTCATTAAACCTGGTGATAACAGGGCAGATCGTGGCAGATTAAGGGAGGGGGGGGGGGGGCTGAGGGATGACCCTGATTTTTAGAGGTCTTCAAATTTTCTCTTACATAGTATATTTAATTTTCAAACAGACTTCTGCTTTATGTAAATTAAGTGACCGTTTAAATGTTTGAATGACAAGCTACTTTATTTACCACATAAAAAACACACACGAGTTATTCCCCATGAAAAAACTTCAAAATGCTCTCCCCCTCTAATGTTAACGTTGGCTGTCATAGCTTTCTGCTCAAAAACTGTTTACATAAAGCAACACTCAATAAGTATTCTAAATTTTATTTCTGGCACACAAATCTTGTAATCAACCAGTTTCAGAAGAAGAAAAAAAAATCACTGGCTCTTAACAAAACAGGCTAGAAAAACATGTGTTACTTCAACATGTACGTTTATGAATAATCTGTCCAATAGCTAACAAAACAACGACCCCCTAGTGATAGGCAAAGCCTATAACGCTTTAAGCCAAACATAATTAAAAAAATGTATAGACTTACTGCTCTGGCTATTTGCATCATTCAAAATCAATACGTTAGGTAGGAATTAACTTGTTTTGAATGTTAGGCCTAGTTATACAAAGTGACAGGTGGTTAGTGATGTTTTTTCATGTATTCAATTCACAAGAATTAAAACCTAACCTAGACGACAGGTGTTAGCTTCAAGGATACGACTAGGTTTATCTCATAAGTATAGAGAAAGAAGTGGTAATGCTATAACTGATTGACAGCGATGGGTCAATGGACTGAACAGGATGCCATCAATTTTCCATTAAAGACAATCGTTAAAAAATTTCCTATCAATTTTTTGTTTGTTCCTTACAATCTAAATGACTGTTGTAAGTCTGAACCAGAAGCTTTTTTCCCTCTGTACTTAACGTGTGCTCTCCCTAAAATAATGAAAACTGTTTTTTATTGACCTCGCGTATAAAACATGAAAAGTGAGTAAATTACACCAGGCTAGCATTCTTTGACATATCTGCAAGTGTTAGCTGGCCTGATCACAGATACAAACATAATACAAAAGTGACATATCTATTATAATCCTGCGCCTTTTATTAGATCTAGACAAGCAGCTCTATAACACTAACAAGTTTAAAACAGTAGGCTTATGGAGTAAGGTATGGAGAGAGATGTTTTCAAATTTTGATATCTTAATCAAATTTTTTTATATTTATGCTTTTTTAAAGATAAATTATAACATAATCATGCACGATTTTAAAGGCACTATAGTTGCAATATCAGGTGTGTAACTAGGTTATCCTGCATTTTTACTCCTTAAATCATGGAAGTTGTAATTGGATATTATTCTCCTGTATGTTTAGCCATATAAAACAATATCTTTAAATCCAATTATAAACATACCTGACCTAAACATGTTTGTGTAACAGTAAATGTGTAACAGTAGCTGTGTCGCTAGACTAATTGAGCTTTTGTCAGTCAACACTATCCATTCCCAGGGTGCACCACTGAAATGGCCCAGGATAAAATAGCCCGTCAATATGACCCCAATATATTGGCTCCCGACAAATGAATCATTTGACCGACATAGCAGATATGAGCAGAAAAGCTAAACTTAAACCATAATATTTTTAATGAAAATATAACACAATAAAAATAGCACTGCTCTCACTCCCCAGTCACAATAAATGCTTTTACTTTTGTAAGATATTATCCCCAGTCGTATTAAGCATGAAATGACAGCCGACTGGGAATAGCCGTATTGGGGCTATACACAGTTGGCTCGGAATAGCCCCAATACAGCTATTCCCAACCGACTAAGTGTAAAAATGAAGGCCGATGCTAGCCGGAATAAGATACGCATGCGATACGCATGCGCAATGGAGAGAAACTACGACTTCGCGGCGATGTTTTCGATGGTACTGCGCATGCGTGTGTTTACAACCGCAGAACCCTAAAACCAACCCTAATCCTATCCCTAACCCTATCCCTAATCCTATCCCTAATCCTATCCCTAACCCTAGCCCTAATCCTATCCCTAACCCTATCCCTATCCCTAACCCTAATCCTACCCCTAACCCTCATTCTAGCCCTAACCCTAGCCATATGTCACTGCGCATGCGCAGAGCTATCTTTTGCCGACTAAGTGGAGACGTTGGGGAGAAAAATCTTCTTCCGAGTAGACACTTCGAAAAATGAAACGAAAACATAGCTTATGTCTTGCTTGAAGAATTGGTTTGTTTCGAAAAAAAAAATACTTTTTTTTTTTGTTAAATACATGGCATTACATGGTGAGCAGTAAATTAATTACAAAAAATCTGAAAAAAATATTGTTATGAAACCAATGCTACTATAAAATCACTTCAGCATTAATATAAACAAAATGAAGGGTGTTTTCACTTTGAGATTTGGGCAATTCAAAACAAATGCAAGTACTCTGACTTACATCATACTGTAAATTGTAACGTTTGGCACTTTCGTCTCAAACAAACAAAAGGTTGCCGACCCCTGCTCACTCTACTCTAGACGTCTAGATTAGATCTAGAGTCTAGATCTAGATCTAGATCTCTAGAATCTAAAGATCTAGATCTAGATCTGTCTTATTTATTTGAAGAACTGTAGGACTACATAGTTGTTAAAACAAGATCTAAATTACTTACTTTATTTAGATTCTAGATTCTCTATACAGACTCTAGACTCAGTATAATAAATTGTCCTAAGCCCAACGAGTTATGAGATCGCTACTTGTAAACATTCATTTTGGTCTGTCAATGCAAACTGTGTTTTAGTTCGAGTGTACAAACCTGAACTTGCCAAAAGAAGAGTTTCACCATCTAAATACTTAAAACGTAATCATGTTTAGAATGGACACAACGGCTCTTTTAAAATAATTAACTCGCTTCAAGAATTAGTCGGGAAATATAATAAGATTATATTTTCCGTACAGAGTTTCTTCCATGCATCTTTTCGGGGAAGAAAGTCTATCGCCCCCCCCCACGAACGAAATGGGGATTTATATAGAAAAAATATACTTTTAACAGTGTCGCCCCCCCCCCCGGAAATTTTAGGCCCACCCCCAATTTTTTTTTCAAGTACTCCCCCACCCCCCGGCGAAAAAAGTCTGGAAGAAACACTGTTTCCGTATATAAAAGAGGATGCGTAACCAGGATGCGAAGATCCGTACCACTGCACTGTTTGATTGAGAGAAGCTGGTAGTGATGGGACGAAAAGGCCTGATATCATCTCTAAAAATAGGCTACTAATAATACTAAAAAAAAATGGTTATGTTTAACTAACTTGCGAATGTACACACCATAATACTTTTGGATCCAGATTCACAACTTATAAACTTGCATAACATTTCAATTGATGTTTTTTTTTTACCATGACGATGCACCGTGAAGCGTCATCTGTAAACAACTTGGTGTCTTTTAATATATTTTTTCCAAAACCCCCTATGCCCTATACCGAACATCACACTTGATCACAAAAAGCCAGACATCCCCCCCCCCCCCCTCCAAAGTCACATTAGTTTTTCTTGTTTACAACGGCGATTTCTTTCGAAAATATTTACAGAGTTCGGTCTACGAGGTAGACCTGGATCTATAGTGATTAGTGATGCGTTTTCATTGCAATTTACAAAAATGAAATTCTTGTACGTTAACTTTTAATTCTCTGTCTTGTTGGAGTATTGGACATTAATTATAGCCTTTCAGAGTTATCTGTCCTGCTAAAGTATAAAGCCCCAACTACAGCCCTATTAGAGTTATCTGTCCTGCTGGAGAATAGAGCCCCAACTACAGCCCTTCAGAGTTATCTGTCCTGATGGAGGCCCCCTTCGAAGAGATGCAGGAAAGAAACTCTGATATTCATATGAGGTTTGAGCTGACAAAATATTTAAGAAAGAAATCGATGTTTTTAAAAGATCAAAACATGTAAGCTGAGGCGTGACTTCTTTTTAGATGTTTATAGTAAAACTGCACTTCGTACCTGATGTGACACGGGACAGGTGAGCTACTTCCCCTGTCTTTGACCTCAGCATATGAAGGGATAGTGGGGTCAGCACCGTGTTCAACCAAAATCGATGTTTATTTAAATCAGGGGTCTCCAAACTACGGCCCGCGGCCCGGATGCGGCCTGCGAAGTCCTCTCATCCGGCCCGCGGAGATCTTATTGTCCAAGGAAAAATCGTTTGTTGGTGATGGCTGAGAAACTTTGCTAAGAAAAATCAAAGACATGCCCGGAAGAAACTGGCACCCGAACTGAAATTTGATAGTTAATGCGGCCCTCGGACTGAAAAGTTTGAAGACCCCTGATTTAAATGACAAAAACATGTTGGCTGAGGTGTGACGTCTTTTTAAATGTGGGGTCTGGCTTTTTGTGACTATGTGTGACGGTGGGTTAGGGGAAGGGAGATAAAAATCGTCAAACAAGCTTGACGTCATTTATGAATGACCCCTAAACCCAGTTATCCAAAGGATAATGTGTGGTCTAGTACAGGGGCGTAGCGAGGGGGGGGGGCGGGGGTGCGGAACGCACCGGATGACACCATTTAGGGGGGTGACACCAAGGCAAAAAATAGCAAAATATATAGAGAAAAACTTGAGGGGGGTGCAAATCGAAAACTTGAGGGGGGTGCAAATCGAAAGTTTGATGGGCTGGGGGGGGGGGGTGCAAATCGACCATTTGAAAGTTTGTCCCCGGGAAGGGTCGCTACGCCTCTGGGGGGGTGACACCATTAAGTGCCGCACCGGGTGACACCCGACCTCGCTACGCCACTGGTCTAGTATAAACTAAATATTATACATGCATAATCTTACATATAATTAAAATCAATATAAATATTAAAATCTAAAATATGAAATAGAAAAATATGACTATATTTAATAGTGGGTATGTAATTAATACCAAAGTAAAACGTTTTTATCATTACTCAACATTAAAGTGGAATCAAGAGCTTGGGAAATTTGGGAGTTAACCGGAATTCTGTAGCAGGAACGATAATCTCAAAAGGGGCAAAACCAACATTAACCATCGCACTTGCTATCACGGATTATACTCCCATTTTAATTGGTAAAAATTATGACGAATGCGGATGCCATATTAGTACATATAGGCTACTACTTTGAACTTCTTATTTGTATTGGAGATATTCATATCCTTGGAAATGTTTATGAAATTGTATATATCATGTCTTGTCTTCATCTCTGTTTCAGGTAAAATAACATGTTTGTAAATCTCTAAATGATAGCTTTGCTCTGTAGGTCTAAACAAATATACCTGGTCACGTGATTGCTATTTTTATTTCGAACATTTGGCATAAACTCGTGAAAACGATGTATTAATTATAGTGCTATAAAATAGTTTGCAATGTGCATTAACATAGTTGTTATTATCATCATCATAATCATAAACCGCCATCCATTTCTGGGGTATGGACCACCAAACTAATTTCTCAAGAGTCCTCTGTCCTGTGCTGTTTTTATTTTTCAATTTAATTCTATTTATGGCTCATTTTTCTGTATCAACCCCAATGTCGTATCGTTGGGTGTTTCTCTGCCACTTGTGCACTTTTCTTACTTGGGTAGTGTACTTTAGTGGCTGCTTGGTGATACTGGTTGGTCCCCATCTAATTCAATCTTTCTATATACGAATTACATATATATATATATATATATATATATATATATATATATATATATATATATATATATATATATATATATATATATATATATATATATATATATATAGGCAGACGTGTGACGTTCTTTGTTGGGTCTTGTGCGACTCCTTCTCACGGCACCCAAATGCGACAGAGGCGCGTAACCACCTGTCTGTAGGTATACGCCCGCGGCTTAGGTATCCCCGCCTCTAGGCCGCGGACACCTCATTTGACACCCACCTGATATAAAGAAGCACACTCTGACCGCAGGTTCAAGATTACAACATTTTTTTCCTTCATGAATAATCACAGTTCAGATAATTAGGTGAATCTCAACAGACCTCCACTGTCACAGGTCCACACACTGTATCATTCCGTCTCTCAATCTACTAACACTTGTCTCTGCATTCAATCAATTCTCTATCTCTCGTCATTCCAGCGCCCGATCGTTCTCTGCGCTCCTTGAGCTCACATCATTCTTCTATCTTACAGTGTTCCTTCCTTGTTTCTCATACATCTTCTATCTCGCGCCTACCCAAAAGTAACGCTGCTTATATACACACCCAACCACACCCAGCCGTACATCCGGTGTTGTCAACAATGTATATCAAGGTCAAACTTTTCTATTTAGGTACCACCAGTTGCATAATCACTCTTAATAGCGTGTCCATTTGTCGTTGAGTTTATTTGTCAAATTCTATTTTAATCACACCAGCTACGTGTTATATCAGTTGCATAATAACTATAAATAACTCAGTTCAGTTCTGGCCTTGACCTTGTCCATGTTGACAACCAAATACATTGTTTTTGTAACTACACTAGTTTTATATATATATATATGTTACCGAGTCTATTTGCTTGTAGTGCCAAATGTTACCGATTTCACTGCTGACAGCGCCAGATGTTACCGAGTGTATTTACTCGTGCTACCTTTGACCAGCACACAACATCGACCACAATATAGATACTCGGAAATGCAGGTTTACATTGATCTCTTTATTACATGAATCAATAGAAATGCTCCACATAAAAATGTATCAATGTTCCATAAGAATAAAATGAACCAACTGACCCCCACTGTCCTCACTAGTCCTAACATAACAGAATGCACATGTCCATAATTCCTATCCTCACATAACACAATACGTCTACCCCGTTCAGTAAACTGACCCCCACTGTCCTCACTAGTCCTAACATAACAGAATGCACGTGTCCATAATTCCTATCCTCACATAACACAATACGTCTACCCCGTTCAGTAAACCAACTTGATACTCCCCGAAACACGTCTCTACAGTTCGGCTTCCACTTCTCAACTCTCCCCTCCTATTCTCTCCTCGTATTCGTAATCGTAATCGTATTCGTATTCGTAATCGATTCTAATCGTTGCATCAGAATATTAATTGCGCAGCTCTGTCGTACAGTCCGACCACCTGCACTGTTACGTCAGCCCAGTTTGGCCTTGGTCATGTCAAAGTTGACAGCGCTGTAATACGTTCTTATGTCTCTGGTAACTCTACTAGTTACATCCACCCCCGCCTTTTTTTGTGTGTTTTCAACCACAAACAACGCTTGGCAGGTGCACTCCTCCAATGTCCAACGCAACACCGTAAAAAAAAAAATTTATTGTTCCACTCACTGTCAATGTCGTCACATTTGTAAAAGATTGACAGTTATCCCTATTTCACATATCAAATGTGTCTACATCATATTCCTCAGACACAAAGCAGTTCTAGAATTCACATCCACCTTTTTTCGTTTGGTGTCTTCACCAGTTCATTTTTATAGCTTTTGAACAGTCTGTTCTCATCCCAGCACGACCATAAAAGAATTGATGGTTGCTGACGAAAAATTTCGTATTCTTTCTGTTTCTCAAACTTCTCCGCGGACCACTTATCTGTTGTTCTACTGTCTCTCTGCTTCTGGGAGGACCGGGATCCTCATTGTTGCCGTTATCCTCCACTTGTGTATCGCTGTTTTGCTGTTTATGGTGACATGGTTCCGGGATGGGTATGAGAATTTCCGTTGTAGTTTCCGGTTCCCTAGTTGTCTTAGGTTTCTTTGTATGTAAATGCTCCTCTTGCCTATGCCAATATTTCCTTAATTGAGCAATATTCGCCCACCGATCCGGTTTGGTGTGATTGGTGGGTCTTATTTTAAAGGGGCCACCTGCTACTTTAGGCATCTCCACGACTTGCCATATCTCCTGTCCCCAGAGGTCGTGGATTTTGTTTCTGCCTAATGGGTGGCTACGCAGTAATACTTTGTCGTTTAGTTGGAGTGGCGGGTCTTTTGTCTGTACCCGCGGTTCTCTTCGCCGTGCTTCATGTTCTAGTCTTCCTTTTACCACCCTGTACATTTCTCTAATTCGTCTCATATGTTCATTCACATATTCCAGTGCGGTGTATGAGCCAGTCATGCTTTCCTTTTTTCCTAGGAACAAGTCAAGAGGGAGTCGAGCCTCCCGTCCGAACAGTAACGTGTGTGGCGAAAAGCCGGTTGTGGCATGGGGGGTGCAGTTGTATAGATATACCAACTCTGGGAGAAAATCAGGCCAACGTTTTTTCTGTTCAGGTTCTAGAGTACGCAGCAAATCATGCATGCTGCGGTTGAACCGCTCGCACTGTCTGTTTCCTTTAGGATTATATGTGGTTGTTCTAGATTTGTTGATCCCGTAGTGGCTGCACAGTTGGTTAATTACTTCTGACTCGAAGGCCCTTCCTTGGTCAGAGTGTAATTGTATTGGTATGCCATATTTGGTGAACCAGTGTTCTATTAAGACCTTTGCCACTGTTTTGGCCGTCTGATCTCGTGTGGGCACCGCGACAGTCCATTTGGTGAATACGTCAGTCATCACCAACACATGTTCCGTCCCATCCGATGATTGCTCCAACGACGTAAAGTCCATAGCCACAATCTCTAGTGGTTTTGTCGCCAGTAGGTGTCCTGATGGCTGTCTCATTTTGACAACTGGCATTTTCGCATGCTGACACCTCACACAAGCCTCACAATGGCGTTTGACCTCCATCTCCATATTGGGCCAGTAGCACCTCCGTCGTAATATTTTGTGCGTCCTGTCCTGACCCTGGTGTCCCGTCCTGTCATGTGCCAACTTTAGCACTTCTTCTCGTAACTGTCCAGGCACCACCACCTGGTGTATTGTCCCGTCTATTTAATCATGAATTCTCCGCATGAGAACACCATCCTTTATACTGAGACGGTCCCACTGACTCAGTAGTTTCTTTGTTTCTCGACCAAACTGATCTCTTTCCCTTCTTCTTGGGAATTTTTGTTCCTGGACGTATTTCAACAGCGGCTGTAACCCACTATCCGTTCTCTGGGCATTTCTTATCTCTTTATGATTAAGGCAATTAAAATCACTGATGTCCATATGACGGGGCTCTGTGGATATGTGCTCCACCACAGTCTGCCCGTTTTGCATCACTTGCACCCCGTGAGGGATATCTGTTGACGCTCTGACCTCACATATTCCTGTCAGCGTTTCTTCCTCATAGCCCGGTCTCTCGTAAGGATTCCTTGATAAAGCGTCCGCATTGCCATTGGACCGCCCCGGGCGATATTTTATCTCTAGGTCAAAGAGTGCCAATTCTGCTGCCCATCGCTATTCGATTGATCCCAACTTTGCTGTCTGTAGGTGACTCAGGGGGTTATTGTCAGTGTATACCACACATTTAGCACCTAATAGATAGTCCCTGAATTTTTCAGTCACAGCCCATTTTAATGTCAAAAGTTCTAGTTTCATGGCGCTGTAATTTGTCATGTTCTTCTCTGATTCCTTCAGAGCTCGACTGGCATACGCAATAACCCTGAAACCTTGCTCCTGTTGTTGTGATAGTACAGCTCCCAGACCTTTAGAGCTGGCGTCAATTTCTAGCCGAAATGGTTTGTCAAAGTCTGCGTATCCTAATATCGGCGCCTCTGTCAAAGCATTTTTCAGTAGCTTAAACGAGTTCAGGCATTCCTCAGTCCATAATTCACCTATCAGTTGTGTTTTGCCTTTCTTTTTCTCCTTACTGTGTTTCTTTGTCATTTTGTTTACCAAGTCATGCAACGGTGCGGCAATTTTTGCAAAACCAGGTACAAATTTTCTATTTTCTTCTTCAGATAACAGACACTCTAAAGATGAACATTTCTCCTGTGCTTTTAATTTGCATGAACTTTCCCTATCCAGTTTCATGGTTAACATTGAGATCTCATTATTAAGTCTACCAATTTCTTCCTTATCATCATTTTTGTCAGCCAACAAATTGTTCACTTGAAACTTTTTAACATCCAAGTTCATTTCACAGTTCATTTTTTCTATTATTAACAAGTCTTTTGAATTCTTAAGTTCTTCCACCAAGGCTATAGTATCTGTTAGCTTAGTTTCACAATTTTGAAGTTCAGAAAGCTTCAAATCTAATTTTTCTCGTGTAATTTGAAGTTCTTTTTCAATATCTGATAATTTCTCTTCAAGTCTTGTTTGAGACTCTTTCATTGTTTGTCCCTTTTTGTTTCTTAAGCCATAACCTCGCCGCTCTGTAGCCTTGACTTGCCTTACAGAGGGCGATCGTTTCACCGGACAGTACCGTGCCATATGTTCGGGTTGTGAGCAGGACAGGCAGATTGGTCGACCGTCAGCTGTCCACTGGAGTGATGGACCAGCAGGTCGCGGCTGTCCAACCTGTCTATGTTTTGTCCCGTTTTTGCCCTGATTCTCTGCTGTTGACCTGCTTTCTAACCTCTCCAATCGTTGGTCAACCTTATCCAGGTGGGCCAACAGTTGAGCCATCATGGTTTCCATCGTGCCGGCCCTGTGGGTGGGGATTGTTTCTGTTCCGGCACAGAGACTTTGTCTACCGAACAGTTCGATTGGTCCTCATCCTCGGAAATGCGGATCGCCGAGTTCCTGACCTGAAGGAAGGTCAACTGTGGGTCTTTGTAGACCTCTTCTTTCAAATATCTTCTTGACATCGGGGTTGCTAACCCTTCGATGAAATGGTCCCTCAGCAGGCGCGCATCTATGTCGGGTATTTTGCCTTTTACAGCTTCAAAGGCCCTGTTCATTCGGTGTGAATATTCCATCACACTCTCCGCCAGTCTCTGCTTTATACCTACAAACACCGATAGCAGTTGCGATCCCGACCGTCTCTCCCCAAAGGTCTCCATAATTAGATCTAGCACCTTATCTGGATCTGTTTGGATGGTTTTATCGTGGCATTTGACCTCTGCCCTAACCGTCTCTCCTATACTGCTCATCAACAATCTTAATCTTTCCTCTGGTGCCATGTATCTCGAGGCCCAGGCAGCTTTGACCTCTTCACTGAACCTGTTGGTTAAGGTTGGATCACCGTCCCCGTAAAATTTGTTGATGTGGGACTCTCTGGGCAGGACCACAATATGGGTCGGACCTTCGTCCAGATTAGACATTCTAATTTTTTTCTGTCCTGGTCCATCTGGAGGCAAGGGGTCCTCTTCACTGCTGCCTATCTCTGGGCTATCTTTATCTGGCTCAGATTGTTGGGCCAGCAGGAGTTTTTGTTTTTTTCTGATATTTAAAATATCACTCTTGCGTCTGTCACTCACACCAAGGAAAAATGTTGCAGCTATGCAGCAGATAGTATTGCCCAAAAGGGAGATCATGACATATTTCGAGTGTCTAAGAGTTACGTTTATATCTTGGTTGCCATCTTTGCCTAGTATTTGTCCCACAACCAAGTTGGAGATACCAATGCCAATTATCTGGATGCTGGTGGTCAGCCCCATAGCTGTCCCCATGGTGGCTGGTGCTACAACTAGGGGTATACTGAGCCACATGCTTGCAGCAGCAAAAGAGCATGTGACACCAAGCCAGAATGATAATGAAAGGTGTCTCATCTCTGTTCTTTTCAATTTCCTCGATTCTGATTTCAGTTTTCCCTTTTATTTATTTCCTTCAAATAAAAAAAGACCTTTCTTACCGTGTATGTAAGAATACTTTTCCCTGTTCCTGAATGTCCGAATTCACACACACGAAACACAGTTATTAACTAGGTCGACTATGGGTGCCGCTCACGGCTGGTCTAGCTGAATTCTTCTGCTCGACAACGCCAAATGTTACCGAGTCTATTTGCTTGTAGTGCCAAATGTTACCGATTTCACTGCTGACAGCGCCAGATGTTACCGAGTGTATTTACTCGTGCTACCTTTGACCAGCACACAACATCGACCACAATATAGATACTCGGAAATGCAGGTTTACATTGATCTCTTTATTACATGAATCAATAGAAATGCTCCACATAAAAATGTATCAATGTTCCATAAGAATAAAATGAACCAACTGACCCCCACTGTCCTCACTAGTCCTAACATAACAGAATGCACGTGTCCATAATTCCTATCCTCACATAACACAATACGTCTACCCCGTTCAGTAACCAACTTGATACTCCCCGAAACACGTCTCTACAGTTCGGCTTCCACTTCTCAACTCTCCCCTCCTATTCTCTCCTCGTATTCGTAATCGTAATCGTATTCGTATTCGTAATCGATTCTAATCGTTGCATCAGAATATTAATTGCGCAGCTCTGTCGTACAGTCCGACCACCTGCACTGTTACGTCAGCCCAGTTTGGCCTTGGTCATGTCAAAGTTGACAGCGCTGTAATACGTTCTTATGTCTCTGGTAACTCTACTAGTTATATATATATATATATATATATATATATATATATATATATATATATATATATATATGCATATTAGGGGTCGTCCATAAATGACGTCACACTCGTAGGGGGGAAGGGGGTCCGTAATTTTGTGACGGTGTGTGATTAGGGGGACGGGGGAGGGTTCAGATGGTGTTACGTCACTTTTTAGCATTATAAAAAAGCAATGTTAGAAAACGAGTTTCAGCTGTTATTTCGCGTTTTAGAAAACGGTTTTAATAAATTGTGATAGGAATTGATCAAAATACTCTATGTTGACAGAGTTCTGACAAGATTTTGATTAAATGTCGATGTTTCAAGAAAATTTAACAGCAATTTTGAGGGGGGGGGTGTAGGCTGAGGTGTGACGTCATTTTAGGGAGGGGGGTCTGGCTTTCTGTGAGGAGGAGAGGGGGCGGAGGTAAAAAATCGTCAAAAAAGCGTGACGTCATTTATGGATGACCCCTTATATATATATGTAAGTATGTATGTTTCAGTGCCCTCGGTTTCTGCTGTATCCCCTGGCAGAGGCGTGGAAAGATGCGCTAGGATCTACAAATCTCTGATTCAAGAAGCCAAGAGTAGAACATCGAGACCTGAGGAAGTATGCGACTACCTTTACCCGTTCTACGATTGTGGGCTACGATCAATGGCAAACGCCGGAAGCCTTACGGAAAAAGTCGGACGGTTGAAACAAATCCTGCAGGAGAAAAAGATGAACCAGTACGAGTGTAACGAAACAATTTACACAGCTGCTGAGGCTATCTGGAATTTCGGTGATTACTGTACGCATCAATTTAAGTTCAATTAATTATTTCTATTAATTTAAATAAAACGGTTTATCTAGGGTTTAAAAAATAACAATCTACAAAATGTTGTTAAAAGGACAATTCAGGCTGAATTTTTTTTTCTAAACGTATTTAAAACTATACACTAATTATCGTTGAAAGTGTTGAAATATCTATCTATCTACATATATAATTCTCTTCTTCGAGCCGTTAGAAAACAAGCTGCAAACGCTCTCCCTACCTCCCCACCCCTACATGGTTTTAGTGAGCTGTGTTCACTCTAAATGTTTACAAGCAGAGCCAACGATTTTAAACGTAGGGGGGGGGGAGGAGGGGGAGGGAAGGAAGGGGGGGGGGTTATGGTCCTTAACGAGCTACTCATAGTGTTTTAAAGAAATATTTTCAGTGTCAGCGTTGGTACTGTCGAATTCACAAATTATGAATTATTGAAAATTAGAAACAACTAAATAGCGGCGTATGTTATGCCGCGGGCCGGCTCGTATATATATAATTCTCTTCTGGGAGACGCTAGAAAACAAGCTGTAAACGCACTCCCTACCTCCCCACCCCTACATGGTATGATGAGCTGTGTTCACTCTAAATGTTTACAAACAGTCGGGTTTAGTGACGACTATTACGGGCAGATAATTTAGTTTGAAACGATTTTAAGCGTGGGGGGGGGGGGTAACTAAGTGGAGTTTACTTTAACGGAGGGGGGAGGAGGGGGGGGGTTATCGTCCTTAACGAGCTACTCATAGTGTTTTAAAGAAATATTTTCAGTGGCAGCGTTGGTAGTGTCGAATTCACAAATTATGAATAACTGAAAAGTAGAAAAAAAAAACAACTAAATAGCGGCGTATGATATGCCGCGGGTCGGCTCGTTTCTTTTAAATTAAAAAAATAGAACTATACAAAAAATGTTTTTTGGTTTCTAATAGCCTACTGAATAAAATTATTTAATGAAAGATTCACTATTGTATAGCATGGAGCGCCAACTACTGTGCCAAAACATAAAACGAACAGAGTTTCTTCCATGCATCTCTTCGGGGGGGGGGGGGGGGGCTTAGCCGCCCCGAAAAAAATTCTACCGCCCCCCCCCCCCGTTGATTACTATAGTAGTTGGTTCTTTTTTTTTTATCTAAGATGCACTGCTACCCTTTGACAAATTCCACTACCATCCAGCTACACCTTAACCTCTAAAAGCTACATAAATACCCAGAGTAACAGTGGAGATATTTTCCCGAAAGACACTTTCCCAAATGAGACAAATCCCCGAATGGACACTTGCCCGAATACGACATATATATATATATATATATATATATATATATATATATATATATATATATATATATATATATATATATATATATATATACCAAGAAGATGTTTTTAATAAGTTGAATTTGACATTTTGAAAATCAACACAATTCGTAACATAAAAACAGACATGTGTTTATATTTTAAATTAAGCTTTTATATTTGAAAACACACACATTAAAACTTTTAACGTTGCCCTAACATAACACTAACACAAAACAAACACAAACGAAAACACAAAAACAAACGCAAAGACAAACCCAACCACAAACACAAAGAAAACACAAACACTAACGCAAACAAAAAAGCAAACGAAAACAAATCCAGACGCAAACACAAACCCAACCACAACCAAACAAAACACACAAAAAAACAACGCAAACATAACACAAACACAAATACAAATACAAACGAAAACACAAAAACAAACACAAACACAACCACAAACACAAAGAAAACACAAACGCAGAGAAAAAAGCAAACGAAAACACAAACGCAAAGAAATAAAACAAACGAAAATAAACCCAAACCCAAATCCAAATGCAAAAACAAACGCAAACCCAAACTCAAACACAAAGAAATCAAAAACGCAAAGATAAACTCAAAGTGTCCACAATCTTGCCCGGGGCGCCAAATCACACCATGCCGACGTGCGGCGTAACCGCCTGATTCAACTTAGTAAATGACTATAGTACCCAACTTATTCATAGTCTTTTGAACTCACGCGAACGTAGGTACCATAGCGAACACGGGAAGGTCCGGGGCGCCAAATAGCATCCTGTCGGAGTGCCGGAGGGCGCCCGGGTTTGATTCACTTAAAGACTATAGTAAACTTTCTTATCCATAGTCTATCGCTCTGTTTAAAATGAAATTATGCACCATAGCGCTCACATGATAGCCCAGGACGCCAAATCGAACCGTGCAGGGGCGCCGGCGGACGCGCCTGTTTCAATTTAGTGAACAAAATTATAATACTCCAAGCTTATCCGTAAATGGAAAGTAATAAACATATAGGATTTGTAGAACATGGCTTATTAACTGTTATTGATTTTAAAAAATAATTAGTAAACAGTACGTTCAGTGTATAGAATAAATAAAAGGCAGTATTAAAAATACCAACGACATTGCACTTAATCAATCCCCGCTAATTATGTAATTTTTTTTTCCTAACACCAAAACAAAGTAATTAAAAGTAAATTCTTTCTCCCCCAATTTAATGGGTTTTTTAAAAGGGAAGTAACTGTGTTTTCCAAATCAAGGGACGTAATGAGTGCTAAAGGACAAAAAGCAAATACATTTCAGACACAATTAGAAACTTTATAAACGTTGATACACTTTTTTTTTTTTTATGTAATGTTCATAATTAAAAATTATTATTCTAAGTATGTAAAATGAAAATTGTTTTTAAGGACTTTCAATATTCATTTTTTAACTTATAAATTTAGACTATGAGTACTTTAATAATCTAACACTTGAATCCATGGAAGTATCTTTTTTTTTCTTTTTTTTCTAATATTTTTTTGTAATCCACGACAAACATTTAACAAAAATACATACAGAATTGAACTTTATATATTAGATACTGCAGTTTAATACTGAAATTTAACAATTTAGACGGTTTTGTATTTCCAAGCTGGCAATCTGTGATGTAACCAAATATCTACATTTACTTTATTTTCAGCAAATTTTAAAGAAAAGGGTGATGTCACTTGTGCGTCCTTGCTAGGCAATTACGATCACGACACAAACAACATCTGTAACCACACCCTCACTCTACTCATCTGCACAGTGAGCAACTTCAGAGAAAGACCATCAGATGAGCTCATCTCCGAGTTTGTGACAAACTTCAGAGACAACAGCAACTGCAGTATCGATGTTAACGCCACTATTCACAGATTATATTCCCACTCTGGTGATTCGAACTCTTCTGTGGATCGAAGTTTAAATATAGCGTTGTTAACTGTCGCCATGGTAATGGTGGTTGTCTCATTTTTTTAAACGTAGGATAATATGGATAATAAATAATTTCTTCTTTAAATTACTTTTGTTTTTAATTGAGCTCATTTGTATCAAAGTTGTATTAATATGTTGCTATTGTCCCAAACTAGGACTAGCTTAACTCTCTGTTGAGCTGATAGGGTCTAATTTTATGTGACCTTACGCGATTTTTATATCAGCGTCTATTAGTGGAGTACAACTATTTTAGATGAACGCAGGGGCGTAGCGGGGGGGGGGGGGAGGGGCGGGGGTGACACCATTTAGGGGGTGACACCAAGGCAAAAAATAGCAAAATATATAGAGAAAAATGATAATTCCACTTAATTAAGTGATCAACTCGAGTGTTAAATAGTCTTTTAAGAGGTGCAAATCAAAAGTTTGAAGAGAGGGGGGGGGGGGGGGGGAGCAAATCGAAAGTTTGAGGGGGGGGGGGGGTTGTAAATTGAAAATTGAAAGTTTGTCGCCTCTGGGGGATGACACCATTAAGTGCCGCACCAGGTGACACCCGACCTCGCTACGCCACTGGATGAACGTTTCTGTTTTTAACTATAGTCAACACAGTTAATACTTTGGCTTGTTAAACACTGTAATTGCATGTATAATATAGGTTAGTAATTAAAAATGAAAAGTTTAAATTATGAAGTAAAAAAAAAGAAAAATTTAATTGAATTAATAGATTGAGGGATGAGGAAGCAGAGGCGTAGCGACCCTTCCCGGCGCCCGGGGACATACTTTCAATTAGGCGCCCCCCTCGGGAGCAAATTTTTGATTTGCACCCCCCCCCCCTCGAACTTTTAATTTGCACCCCCCCCCTCAAACTTTCAATTTGGCGCCCCCCTCAAGTTATTCTCTATAAGGTCGGCGCCCGGGGACATATGTCCCCCCCCGCCCCCCCCCTCGCTACGTCTCTGTGAGGAAGAGCTTCATTTTTTACACAATCAAGTATACGTGTCAACTGGTTATGCGCCGTTTAGGCCGTTGACTCCGATTTCAGCCTGTTTTTCTTTTTTGGATTTGCTTCAATAGCCTTTGTCCGAACAAGAACAAACTTCGAGGCCGCAGTTGTTTGATTTTGGAGTTGTCTCTCCTAGAAGAGTTGCTGTCCCCAGCTATCGAGGGTTCTGAACTCGAGACTTTTTTGGTTTAGCAACCATGAGCTACTTTAAAGTCTAATTCGCTATTCATTTTTTTTACCAACGTCTGATTCCGGCCCGGATGGGACCTGCTTCTAAACAAGGTTTTTTCCTGGCTTTTCCTTGGGTATATAAATATACGAACCAAGAGGTTAAAAAAACCTCTAAACCTGACAAACTATTTGAGACCCCCTGTGTGACTTCAAGTGAGTTACATCTGATGCTATTTTGGTCGTGTCGCCTGGACGAGTGGTTGAGACAGTGTTATCTCTTTTAGACAAGAATTTCCTGCACTTTGCCAAAAATAGATGTCGACGGTTTTATTTATGGTAATATGGAGTCCGAGTTAATTTAAAATTTGATTTAGCTTGCTAAAGTCCAAATAGAAACCAAAACTAATATTTGAAGTAAATTTACTATTTATTGATTCTAGTTCAGTAATCAGTTATGGTCCCTACTATGTCATATTTGACTCTTTGAAACAACAAACAGGTTTTTTTCAATACATATATTGCGAAAATCTAGACTTAGTGAAAACTGATAAATGTCTTATTTGTCTGAATATAATGTTGATAATTTAAGTTATCAGATATAAATTAATCAATATTGATTCCCCGTGTGCACTCGCAAAAAGGTCTTTGTTTACACTGGTAGTCTACCCTTATTGAGGATTGTCATAGCTACATCCCTGACTAATATAGCCAAAATATTTAGTGTATGCATGAACAAATATCATGGATTACTGCCAACTTAACATTTTTTTTTAAAATCCCGCCCCCCCCCCCCCCTGAAAATTGCAAGTGCCCTCCCCCCCTCCCCCCCCCGGAGAAAAAAGTCAAGAAGAAACACTGATAGGGACTACACCTCCCCTCTCGAAAAGTTGCTTGAAAGAAGTTAAATTATTATTATTAGAGACTAATTGCGTCTAACATTTGCAAGAACAAGGTCGATATCAACTACCTCGTAATGAAAACGGAACTGAGATTTTTTAATTACGCACTACTCACAACTTACGTCATCAATATTAGCCTCGTTCCCACGCAGTCTAGTCAAGACGGTGAACGACTTATCTACGCCACCCGGCAAATGTATCCTATCCTGCAGGAAGCAATCTTATGAGTGGGGCTTTCGTGCACCGGTTTTATTTAGTGATAAGTGCTTTGTGACAGTAGGCCCTGTTCGCCAGGATGATTCACTTTTTGCCAGCGTCTGTAGGTTTGTAGACGACTTGATCTAGGTCAATGGGGGTTCTCTAGTGGTTGTAAAAATAGGTGCTGATTTAAGGTTGAGATTGTCAATCAGTTTGTTATGGATGTAAGAACGAGTGCTGAATTAAGGTTGAGTTAGTCAGTCAGTTTGTGATGGATGTAAGAACGAGTGCTGAATTAAGGTTGAGATTTCAACCAGTTTGTGATGGATGTAAGAACGAGTGCTGAATTAAGGTTGAGATAGTCTATCAGTTTGTGATGGATGTAAGAACGAGTGCTGAATTAAGGTTGAGATTTCAACCAGTTTGTGATGGATGTAAGAACGAGTGCTGAATTAAGGTTGAGATAGTCTATCAGTTTGTGATGGATGTAAGAACGAGTGCTGAATTAAGGTTGAGATTTCAACCAGTTTGTGATGGATGTAAGAACGAGTGCTGAATTAAGGTTGAGATTGCCAGTCAGTTTGTGATGGATGTAAGAATGAGTGCTGAATTAAGGTTGAGATAGTCTATCAGTTTGTGATGGATGTAAGAATGAGTGATGAATTAAGGTTGAGATAGTCCATCAGTTTGTGATGGATGTAAGAACGAGTGCTGAATTAAGGTTGAGATTGCCAGTCAGTTTGTGATGGATGTAAGAATGAGTGCTGAATTAAGGTTGAGATAGTCTATCAGTTTGTGATGGATGTAAGAATGAGTGATGAATTAAGGTTGAGATAGTCCATCAGTTTGTGATGGATGTAAGAATGAGTGCTGAATTAAGGTTGAGATAGTCCATCAGTTTGTGATGGATGTAAGAACGAGTGCTGATTTAAGGTTTAGATTGTCAATCAGTTTGTGATGGATGTAAGAACGAGTGCTGAATTAAGGTTGAGATAGTCGTTCAGTTTGTGATGGATGTAAGAACGAGTGCTGAATTAAGGTTGAGATAGTCCATCAGTTTGTGATGGATGTAAGAACGAGTGCTGAATTAAGGTTGAGATAGTCTATCAGATATTGTGGATGTATGATGAATTAAGGTGAAGATAATGTACAGTGAGTGTAAGAATAAATGTTGTCTTAAAATAAGGTTAGCAACAACCTTGGTAAGACAAGAAAAAAAAACGCTTAAGATCTTTATAACGTTAACAACAGCCTTTGTATAACCCTAAAAGTCAAGTAATAAACACACTTAAGATCTTTATAAGGTTAGTAACAGTCTTGGTTAAGATTCTGTGTTACTGCGGCTTATGGACTCTTTCAAGGGTTCTAGTCTTTAGTAGAGTAGAAGTTTGGGCAGTTGGAGGCAAAAGACAGCCTACAAAATAAGCTGCAATTGAGGAAATGTGGATACTTTCAAAAGTTCTAGTCTTTAGTGGAGTGGAAAGTTTCGGCAGTTGGAGTAAATTTTGGGACTTTGTGAGGGTGGGAATGATTTGAAGATCTTCCGCCAGTTGTGAGGTTGGGGAAATACAGTACCACCAAATGTGAGAGTGGGGGTGCTGAAGATGATGAGAATCCAACAGACAAGTTCAAGTCAAATATAATGTTCTTTATTAAAATTTACACAATCAACTTCCTACCTAACTAATCTATACTGTACTACTTCTATCTAACTAATCTATACTATGTGCTTTCTAATACTACTACTAACTACGCCCTCCCATGACCAATCCTAACACACTACATTCTAACTCTCTACCTAACTCTGACCGTTCTCTTGCCCTATCTAACTAACTGGCCCAACTACAGACCCACGCTACAGTGGTCAGCTGACAGCCCAACGTGACCGGTCAGCTTCTGCAGTGGCGAGGTCGGGTGTCACCCGGTGTAGCACTTAATGGTGTCAACCCCCAAGGCGTAGCGACCCTTCCCGGGGACAAACTTTTAAATTTTCGATTTGCACCCTCCTCAAACTTTCGATTTGCACCCCCCCCCCCCCCTAAAACTTTCAATTTGCACCCCCTCATACTTTCGATTTGCACTCCCTCTTCAAGTTTTTCTCTATATATTTTGCTATTTTTTGTCTTGGTGTTACCCCCCTAAATGGTGTCACCCGGTGCGGTCCGCACCCCCCACCCCCCACCCCCCCCCCCCCCTACCCCCCCCCCTCTGAGCTTCTGCACTACCATTGGTCTCTCTAACCAACTAGCCTGTTTCTATTAACTTCTACTTGACCTATACGACCTATAAGCTACCGTCATCACAGACGTGCATATCTCAGCTCTGGTCTTAACAAATTAGCAATAAGTAGGTTAGTTGTCATGAACATAGGCAACAGTTTTAAAAGACATTACATTTGAATTACAGGTAATCAGAGCGAGGCGTCGTTAACATGTAACCATTCTCGCGTGACGAGAGTTAATCTTGGGTGGTATGTTGGACTAGAGTTAATCTTGGGTGGTATGTTGGACTAGAGTTAATCTTGGTTGGTATGTTACTATAGACACTGCTTTATAGAGCTAGTCTGGATTAATTTCGTGAAATAATGAAATAGTTTATTTAGCCATTTTTTTTTAAAAAATCCTTTTCTGAACTGTAGCGTTTTTTCTTTTCTTAAATCGAGATCATATATACTATGACAACGACGACTTCTTGGTATAACTAAAATGAATGTAACAGTCGAACGTCGGCTTAAACAATAATTTTTTGTATGAGTTCTTTGTAACAACTTTTCTGTATGAAACGACTGCCAAAATGTGCAATAAATCGATTTCTAAAAAAAAAATTAACAAATAAAACACACAAACAAGATGAACAAACAACGCAATCAACAACGTAAACAAACACAGCACACACGCACAGCAATCAACGATATCGCCCTTATTGTATTCCAACCAGCACTGATTGGCTGAACTTTCGTTATCTCCAGTACACGTTTCCGGTTACAGTCTGTACCAGGGAGAAGAGGGGAAGCAACTTAAAAATATTATGTGCGAGCACACGGTGACTCTACATTGTTGCTGTTGTGTTCTAGTTAGCAGTGGTTTACTAGAGTATGTTAGCGAGTCAGTGTTTGTTTACTGGGATAGTAGTTGTTTATGATGTCATGAGGCAGTGGTTTAAGTATCAGATCTAGGTAAACAATTGGCCATGTCACTCCGTAGTATTTTAGCGGTAGTGGCAATAGTTTATTTGGCTTTGGCTCGGGGTAAGTATTTGATAAATGTTATATCTATATCTATATCTATATCTATATCTATATCTATATCTATATCTATATCTATATCTATATCTATATCTATATCTATATCTATATCTATATCTATATCTATATCTATATCTATATCTATATCTATATCTATATCTATATCTATATCTATATCTATATCTATATCTATATCTATATCTATATCTATATCTATATCTATATCTATATCTATATCTATATCTATATCTATATCTATATCTATATCTATATCTATATCTATATCTATATCTATATCTATATCTATATCTATATCTATATCTATATCTATATCTATATCTATATCTATATCTATATCTATATCTATATCTATATCTATATCTATATCTATATCTATATCTATATCTATATCTATATCTATATCTATATCTATATCTATATCTATATCTATATCTATATCTATATCTATATCTATATCTATATCTATATCTATATCTACATCTACATCTACATCTACATCTACATCTACATCTACATCTACATCTACATCTACATCTACATCTACATCTACATCTACATCTACATCTACACCTACACCTACACCTACACCTACACCTACACCTACACCTACACCTACACCTACACCTACACCTACACCTACACCTACACCTACACCTACACCTACACCTACACCTACACCTACACCTACACCTACACCTACACCTACACCTACACCTACACCTACACCTACACCTACACCTACACCTACACCTACACCTACACCTACACCTACACCTACACCTACACCTACACCTACACCTACACCTACACCTACACCTACACCTACACCTACACCTACACCTACACCTACACCTACACCTACACCTACACCTACACCTACACCTACACCTACACCTACACCTACACCTACACCTACACCTACACCTACACCTACACCTATACCTATACCTATATCTCTATCTATCTCTATCTCTATCTGATATCTGATATCTACATCTACATCTACGTCTACATCTACAACTACATCTACAACTACATCTACATCTACATTTATGTCTATCTGTTTCATCTACCGAACTCTAGAAGACGTTTGAACTTTTATCAACTTTCAACCATTGACTTTTTATTGACGTTTTTATTGACGTTTGGTCTGCTGATAATGAAGGGACTTATATCGTTACTACTTAATTAAAATTAATTAACTAATTATTTTGTATCTAGGCATGAACAGAACCAAGTTCGATAGTTGCCTCGAGTATGCGACCCAAACTTTATCGAACACAAGCAGTCACAGTGACAGTTGTCACATTCTTCACACTGCCGCTAGTTGTAGCGTGGACGCCTTCTTAAAACTTCCCAAAAACTACGAGCAGAGGATGATTCTTCACAGGATTCAAGGCCTGTACAACGATTCGAAGCTTTGCAACGTCAGCCTAGTTCATCACATCCGTACCCGATGGGGCGGAGAGTACAGGGCGAGTGAGTGCATAACACAGAGGTACAGTCAGATCGTAGCATCCCCAAACTTTAACCCCGACTGCATGTACAAGGAAATTCTAATCTTCTGTGCACTGAAGGCGTTCAAGAAAAAGCCAACAGAAGAGGAAAGGGAAAAGCTTTACGCGGTCTACATTCAACAAGAGGCGAACAAAAACCAAAACGTGTCTTGTTCTATTGACTTTTTTGCCATCGTATCTGAGATCTGGGGTGACACGAACAGTGGAGGTTGTGGTGTTCCACTCACGCAGCTTCTATTTATGATAGTTTTAGGAATCATTTTGTACATTTTCGTGTGATAACTTTGGGAAATATTTTATTCCTTTTGGTGATATCTTTTTTATAAAATCTCTATTCACGTGAAGTTATTTTTTTAGTGATAGAGCATTCTTCTTCGTGTGATCAGCTAAATACTGATGTATCATTTTTTTTTTCAAATTTGGATTTTAATAATGCAACATTTCAGAATTCTGGAATTTTTGGAGCATGCGCAAAGATAATCTTTCAACCTTTATAAGTGGAAATGTTTACTTCTGGTTTGATTATTGAATACTAACGCAAAAAGACACTTTAAACAGTGTTTTATTGTGTTTATTAGCTGAAGATGACATTAAAACTTAATTAGAAAAATGATATAAATATGGACTATAACTGTACATTTCCGTGATGTGGATTACACGTTCACAATAGAGACAGCAGCATTCTGTAATATCCATCTTACTGCAACAACTGTATATATGTATAAAATGTATAACTAATTTTGGATCGATAGAAGCATAGATAAATAAATAAACGTATATATTATATGAATATATATATATATATATATATATATATATATATATATTCATATAAATATATATATATGTATGTATGTATATATACTGGATACATTTAGTTAGCCTAATGTTTGAATGTATTGTTATTTTACCAGTTAATCCTGTGAACACTTTTATGTTATCATCATCTTTCCATTTTCTGCCTAAGAAACATGAAGCATCCATATAAAGCTAATTCTACTTTAGTCGGTCTCAATCCCCCGGTTTTATTGCTTTATGTTTTTGTTTCTGTTGCGGGTTATTTTCAACTAGTCACCAGTACCCGTTATACGTGAATAATAGGCCCACATTTTTAAATGGTATACTTGTTTGAGAAATATATTTGATAAAATAGCTATTGGTCAAAATGCAATATGTTTTATTACACGCTGAACGATATTAGTGACAAAGCAAAGAAGTAACTTAATAGCTAAAATTCCGCCATAGTTAATATAACATAGGCAACCAATACCAATTAGAAAAATTAAAACCAAATTATATACATTTTTAGTCATCACTACACCATATTTAGTGAATGAAATGATTATGTTAAAAATCCGACTATTCAATGGTATTTTGTTTGTTTTTTAAAACTAATTTTTTTTTGGGCCGAGACAATGTGTACATTTTATAGCGTGACTTGATAAGCAGGCCTATATCTAGATCTAAATCAACTTTGAAGGAAATAGTTCATTTCTTCATATTCGAAAATTTGAAGATGTGGAGAGCGAATCTTATTGAAGATGACGTCATTAATATTAGATAATTAGACATTAGATAATTTTATTTTTTATCATACAATCAGTGACGCCATTAGTGTTGTGTACTTTCCGTAGTTTAAACTTTTTATTAACATTGTTTCGTAATGGTATTTTCTTTTTGTCTTACGTGACGTCATTCTTTTTGCTATGATAGTTTTTGTATTACTTATAAGTTCTCAAGATGGGTTTCTTGTCACACCTACAAACACTTCTCCGGTTGCATAATTAAAGAAGTATTTCTACTTTCGAATAAAACTTTATTTTAATTTTCCGACTTTAATAAAAATTTAGTTCAAACATTTAGTACATCCAACATATTATTATAAACAAATGTCCGTATCTTTAAATTCACCATGTTGCTGAAGATACTGATCTCATAGCCTCGGAAAATATTTTACGGAGAGAGAGATTGCAAGAGCACATGGACTTTAATATTTTAGGATAAGCATGCCAGGAGTTTACACCTTAATTGCTAAGAGCTTTGGTTCTTCTGTTCGAATGTTGTACAATAATTATTTGCATTACATTTTCACTGATTAGCAAAAAAAATAAATTATTTTGAATTGATTCTCCTTTCATTTCCATTTTTTGAAAAATATGAAATATAAATTGTTATAAAATATAATAATTAGATATTATTTCCTGTTGTGTTTCATTATTAAAAATGATGTATAAGAAATGCACTCAATTAGTTACTCTAAAAATAAATATAGCGACATAAAAAAACAACATGTTATTGTTGTAGATGGATTCAACATTGTGCTTTGTTTTCACAATCCACAATTGTTCTAAGTTTACTGTTAACTGACTATATCCTGGATCCTGCTTGCTCAGTCAGTGTTGTCAAACGGTAACACTTAGAATACAACGTCATTGTTTCCTTTCTGTCTATTTCACATCCCGTAAGATTCAGAGAATAAGCCGACGCAGTAATTTTTTTGCTATCGTAAATACTGTCTATATTTTGAATCAAGGCTTTTAGTTTTTTAATGTTTTAATGATGAGAAGCGTATGTTTTGCAAGTGTTTTTGTTTCAATGTGTATGGTGACATTCGGTAAGCAATTAATATATATATATTTAATCAATTAAATTTTAAATGTCATTAAATGGTCCTTTGTTTTACGATTTGAATATGCTAAAGAATTTAAATATGTGTAATTTCTATTTATTATAAACTGTTACTAATCTTTCTTTTTTAAGATGGTAGGCTCCAGAAAAAAAAACTTCTTAATTAAAACGTTGTATTGATTTATTTGTGTATATCAAAGTTAGAGTACTTAAAGGAAAATATTTGCAAGCATCAGGGACTCTTTTGAAAATATGGTTGATATGGCAACGGCGTACATCTTGAAAAAAAACCTATTGTGAAGTTCTAAAATTTTATAAGCTAACATATTAATTGGCCATATAATCATTGATCCTTCATTTACTACAGAGGCTTAGCGACGGGAGGGGGGGAGGGGCACATATGTCCCCGGGCGCCGACCCTAGGGGCGCCTAAATGGGTTGAAATTATATTAAAAGCTCATTTTAGCTGCAGTTTAGAATAATAAATATATATGGTATTTTACCATAGATTTTTAAAATAAAATTATTGCGGTTTTCCTCTCGTTCTATGTAAACACACTCAACCAAGGGCTACAACTATATACGAAAACAGGGGACTATCGTTCGAGCACACAATACAAGGGAAGCTATATTATGTCAGGGACGTAACAATACTAAACTAAACTTTACTTTAGCAGGGGAGGAGACCACGCAGAGCTGCTTGGTTTCAAATGTCCAAGGCAGTTTACAGCAACTTTTATCGATGGAAGGAACAGCGCGATGTGAAAAGATTTCAAACCTAACAAAAACCTGTTTATCTCAAGTCCACGGCGATAAAAGACCTAGCGATGGCCAGATTGAGCAATACACATCTACAGCAGTTACCATGACAACCAACTTCAACCTCAACTGCCAGTTTGACATCCGGGCTATGGTACAAGAAATCTGGCCATCGGAGAAGCCGAACACGAGGCAGACGACCGTGTTGCCAGCTACTGCGAGAAACCCTGCCACTGCGACCACCTCATCGTTCACGGTCACCACCTGCCTGCTGCTCATGACTCTGATCAATCGATACAGCTCAACTTTTATAATGTAGTAAACAAGCACGAATATATAGGCTTACATTTCTCAATTTCAATGAAGTATCATCAGAGGTCATCCATAAATGACGTCAAGCTTTTTCTTTTTGACGACTATTATCATCCCCTCCCCTTCGTCACACAACGTCATTAAAAGCCAGACCACCCCCCCCCCCCCAAAAAAAAGGACATCAAACCTCAGTCTACAACGTCCTTCCCCCCCCCCCCTCCTCAAAATTGACGTTGGATGTTTCTTAATACATCGATTTTTTTTTTCTAAATCTTGACTGAGCTCGGTCAATTTATTAAAACAATTTTTCTAAAACGCAAAATGACGGCTAAAATTCGTTTTCTAACATTACATTTTTATACTGCAAAAGTGTGAAGTCACACCATCTGAACTTCCCACACCCCCTCCCTCATCACATACCGTCAAAACATTATTGACCCCCTATGAATGCGACGTCATTTGTGGATGACCCCCCTCCCCCCTCAATAAACAGGAATTTTATTTGTAAAAACCGAACATGCCTGTAAATTACATTAATTTTGTGATTCATAAAAATGTAATATTGATGTTAACTTTAATATCTAGTGTTATGCAGCTAGATTGTTAACACGTTGTAGACTCGATGACATAGGAATAAACAAAATGCTAAAATAAATATTGGTTTCTTTACATTAAGGAATATTAACACATTTTGGCTGTTTTAATTATTAACATCATTTTATCATTATATAAGTGATTTTTATTATAAATAAAATGAATAATATACATGAATTGTTTTTTTACTCATGACCAATAGTTAATGCCATAATGTATCAAATAATAATGTATGTAAGATAAAAAATTATAACGTGTAATATTAACAACATACTTAAAATGTATAATAAACACATTTTAATAAAAATAATTCAAAACATTCATAGCATTTGTTCATGTTTATAACTTTAACAATATGAAAAGCTTTTAGCTTTAGTAACCATTCTAATTTTAATTACAACAACAATGTTCGTACTATTCGACCACATAACGGATTTGTGAAAGGGGGAGGGGGTGGCGCAACAGCAGAGCAGTGAAAGAACAATTATTTATGGCCACGAGGATGTTTAATGCACAATAAATCTCACATTAAAAATAAAATGTTCAATGAAAAAGTTTTTATTACAAGCTTTTATTTAACTCACTTCCTCGTCAGTCTGTCGTCAGTCTAGACGGAAACGCAGGAGTGAAAATTCGGACAGTTCTACTTGACCGACACGATTCACAGTTGGCACGTGGGTCAAGACATGAAGACAATGCAATCTGAAACTAAATTTGACTTAATTGGATGCCTAATTGATTTTTTATGAATTAATTAAAATTTGGACCGAATTAGTAGGCATGTCTAGCCAACCACACCACACGCGTCATCAATAGCTGCGCCATCACGACCACGTAATGGCTGCGTTCAAAAACCATTGCGCGCCTACTGAACGTGATATTCAGTAGGCGCGCAATGGTTTTTAGTCATGTAACTCTATTGTAGATAAAACATGTAAAGTTCTGAAAAAAAAATTCATAAAAAACGTTTTAATAACAAGCTTTTATGTAATGATGCACTAAAAAGTAGAAAATAAATTATAGACTACTATTTAAATAACTATAAAGAAAAGCGTGGGTGTCTTCCTTAACATTAGTAAAGGTATCCAATAGATACTAAAGTGACCCACGCTTTTCTTTATAGTTATTTAAATAGTAGTCTATAATTTATTTTCTACTTTTTAGTGCATCATTACATAAAAGCTTGTTATTAAAACGTTTTTTATGAAATTTTTTTTTATTCTGTTCACAAGCCACACATACAATCACAAATGAAGAAAAAATACACTCAAATTAAGAACATAAATAGTTTGGTGTAACCTTCAGTGTTTCTTCCAGACTTTTTTCTCCGGGGGGGGGGGGCACTTGATATTTTTTGAAGGGGGGGGGGGGGGGGAGCGGACTACATTTTCAGGGGGGGGGGGGAGGGGACACTGGTAAAAGTATATATTTTCTATAAAAATTCCATTTCGTTGGGAGGGGCGGTAGACTTTCTTCGGGGGGGGGGGGGGGGGGGCTGAGCACCCCCTAAGAGAAGCCTGGAAGAAACTGTGGTAACCTTACTAGTGCTTTATGCTGGTGTGACAAAGATAAAAGCCTGGGCTATCAATTATGGAAACTGAACATATTTCAGCTCAATCGGACATTTGGAAATGGGTTTTTAAAAAAAAAGTTAAATTTAGATTCCAAGATTTGCGGGGCCACACAAACATACTGAGCAAACTAAATAAAAGCCTTTAAAAACAACGACGTAAACTTCCTTCTAACAATTATGTCATCCTGCAAACAACAATGATTCGTGGATGTATCACATTTATAGGGTTGGTAGGGGTCGGCGTGGTCGAGTCGGTAAAGCTCATGGTTGCTAAACCGAAGAGTCTCGAGTTCGAACCCTCGGGCAGATGAGGCTCGTTGGCTGGGGACAGCCACTCTTCTAGGAGAGACAACTCCAAAATCAAACAACGGCTGTGGAAGCAAATCCAAAAAAGAAAAGCAGGCTGAAATCCGAGTCAATGGCCTCAACGGCGCATAACCAGTTGACACGTAATCCTTAATTGTGATGGAAGCATGGTCGAGTCGGCAAAGCTCATGGTTGATAAATTCGTAAAAAAAAAGTCTCGAGTTCAAACCCTCTGGCAGATAAGGCTCGATCCCTCCCAACACTAAAAATTAAGAACGAAGAAGAAGATAGGGCTGGTAAGTAGGTCACCAACCTATGGTTTTATTGAGCCCTGAACTGGTTGGTGACCTACTTACCAGCCCTATAGCGATTAAAAATACACTATCGAGCAAGGGCCATGTAAACTGGCGTTGTGACTTACTTCCTTATTGCCGACTACAAGAGAGCACTCAGCTGTAGGGCAGGCTAGCCTTCTACAGTTGTCAATGATTAATGAAGGGTGGGGCTTTTTTAGTAGTGAATAAAAAAAATTATTGCAATCCTTCTTTTTGGCTAAGTAATAGTTATTTTACATTCAATCATAAATGTTACTAAAATGTTCAGGTTTTCGATAAAAAAAACAACAAACAACAGGGGCGCTTGCACTTAGGTTAAAGGGGGGGGGGGGAGGGGGGGCTTATCATACATACATACAAACTCATAGTAGCGTTGACTGGATTGTGCTGAGTGTGTGTGTCGAGGGGGGGGGGGGGGGCGACGACTTACTGCTATTGGTGACGGCGTTCACTATTTAAAATTATTTTACTGCAACGTAAAAGTAAATTTCATTCTTAAAATCTTTGTTTTATATATATATATATATATATATATATATATATATATATATATATATATATATATATATATATATATATATATATATATATATATATATATATATATATATATGATTACATATATATGTATATGTGTGTTTATGTGTGTGTATGTTTTTATGCGTGTGTATCAGTGTGTGTGTGTGCGTTTGTGCGTGTGTGTGTGTGGGTGCACGCGTGTGTTTGAGTCAAATTAAATGGCATATCAGAGCACGGAAAGCACTTGAACCACCCTTTAAAAATGTGGGTGCGTCCATGATTTAAAACGATACTTATTGTTTTCACTATCCATGGGATGGCAGATAATGACACTAATTTCATTCAATGTTTCTTCATGGGCCGGAGCTTGACAAAAAAAAACAGAGGCTGGCATGGAACTGCTTTGTTTCTCTTGTGTTATGCTGGTACTCGTGGTATGTGGTTTAGGAGGCGAGGATATGACCAGGACATATGGTAAGTTTACGGTCTAGGGGTGTGGTGAGTAATTAGGGTAGTTTTATTAGCCGTTTTACACAATAGTGAGATATGGTACTCTTTCGGTATTAATGGCCGATAGTAAAATGAATCTGTATTACACATATGGTGAGTAAACTAACCGTTTATATGTTTGAGGTATAAGGTACGTATACGGGTTTATATATTCAAATACACATTTTGTTTAAATGGCAGTATATATGTTGGGTGACATATGTTAAGTTTTTGGGACATATATGTGATGGGGTAAACTGCGATACGTTTTTTAGACAAATATATCTTGTGGTATTTGAAAAGTCTCAACAACCCGTAACAATCTACCCTTAATGTAATCCAAACACTTAATCATTATCGTAATCGTAAAAGTAGCGTTGTAGCTAATCCCTGAACTAGGTATACATGCGCCGTTTTAAGTTAATTCTGTTTATTGATTGATTGTCTAATTTTCATTTAGCAGGCGTTGAGAAAATGGAGAGCTGTTTGACCCCGAAAATTGAAAGCTACATAGAACAGCTCACCGTGATGAGCGAAACAGCGCAATGTGAATGGATTAAAAACACATCCAAGACTTGTTTAATTCAAGTCTATGGTGACAACAAACCTAGCGATGAGGAGGTAGACGAATACACCATCATAGCAGACACCATGGCGGCTATGTACAACCCAAACTGCCAATTTGACATCCATCTTATAGTACAAGAAATCTGGCCACAAAACAAGGGATCCAACATCATTCAAACAACGGACCGGACGAATGTCACAATGGAGCAAAAGAAGCACAGTACCAATCAAAGGGTCGCTGTATCTAGAGCGACTAACAAATCAAAAGAAAAAAAAGACTTCAGCAAAACTAATCCAGACTTAAACAAAAGCCCAACTGTTAACCCAGTATCGTCAGCAACTGCTAATGATGTAAAAGTATCTCAGCAAAAAACTATTATTTTAGCAGTTGCTGTCACTGTTTCTCTTATTTTTTTATGTATACTTTTAATTGTTTTATTGAAAAAAATACTTCAGCGCTTTAATTCTCAGCATGCACGGTATATCCACAGCATTTAAACGATAACAATAATAATATCTATAGGTAATTATAATTGTTTTCACAGTTAAACTTCACAAATAATATCATGTAATACATTTACGGCTGGAATTCGACCCTTCATAAGAATATGACGAGGTAACAGAAACAGGTGAACTCTACTTAACTTGCCCCAATAACCCTCAGGTTCGAAAAGGGAAAATTATTTTCTTTGCTTTTACACATTTCAGTACGCGTTCTTATTAATTTGTTTTAATTATTAAAAATATCCACATTTTTCAAGATATTTGAGACCACTTTCAAACATGTTCCAATATCAAGATACTGTGTAAACTATGTAAATTATCATGTACAGCATCTTAGCCCATCTTTGTACATGTTCCATACTGATAAGCACTTTTCTAAAATGTTAAAATGGAGGTTTTCAAACAATGGTTGTTGTTTTTCGATCACGAGTAACCTATAACAACATATTTAATTTTCCAACGCATTACAATCTGCTAACATTATTACGAAAACTCTTCTCTCCATTTTATATTTTTTTCTTTACGTAACACAACATTTAAGGCAGGTCATTTTTTTTTATTAAACTGGAATTCTTGTTGGCTAAATCATGAATAAAATACGTGGGTTAGATATAAACGTTTACGAACGCAGGGTTTGGTATGCTGCGTGTGTTGAGAAAGTGTTGATAGTAACTGTTTTAATCGAAATATTAAAATTAAAAACAAATTAACAAAAGCAAACTTGTAATATTTCTTTAACTTTTTAAATTCATCTTATTTTCGCTTGTTACTAGTTTAACAAAACACAAAAC